CCTTGCCATCCGACTCGGTTTCTTCGTCCGATGCTGAATCCGAAGACGAGTCTTCTTCGTCTTTCTCGGACACACTCTGCATAGGCGTTCGCTTTTCCGACAACAATGGCCCGAGTGGTGAACACGCTATCACTTTCTTCGGGGACTTGAATGATTCCGGCTAGAAAATTTAAAGTCATTGATCTTCATGCATCCTGGATACACTTCGAGCCTGAATTTAAAAATTATCTGAAATGTGATGAATACACCTGGATTATCACAATTCTGAGATACTCTATTTTCTCTCCTGCGGTACTTGAAGACACGTATAAAACTGCTTCTGAATTTGAGACTAAAAGAAATACTGCATGCTGCCGATGAAAGCATTCCGAAAATTATTGAGTACCATTTTGATCTGAATATTTCTACGACTGATATTTATAATACTCTTAAGAATGAAAAATGATTTTCTAACCATGATGTTAGATCGACGATTGTATCTCGCAGCAATGCTGAATTTGCCCCTCAATTCCTGAAGTTCGCCCGTGAGCGTCGCAACCTTCGCTTCCAACGCCGCCTTATCGTTGATCAGTTGAATTCTGGCCTCCTTCAGACGACTCATCTCTTCAGTCATCGAATTCATGCAGACGCTGATGGTGGAGTCAAGTTCCGAAGGTGATGTTCTGTCTTGAAAAGCTTCCGCAAAGGCATTCTTAAAGCGTTCCTTGTGGTCTTCCAACTGAGTTGTGACCAAGGACAGTTGTTCCTTCAACTCGGATTTTTCAGACTAATGAAGAATGAAAAATCGCATCAACGTCAACAATTAGAATAAAACTTAAAAAGTCTAACTTCAATTGATTTCCCGGAATCACGCAGTTTTCTACAGTTTTATTTTCCTCGAGAGCTGAATGCCCAGGAGGAAACACATACATATGATTCACTATTTCCCCATGTAATTTACCTTCAGTATGGCGATTTCTTGACATTGCATTTTACTTCTTGCATTTGAATCCACAAGCGAACAAAATAGGATGTTGACAACACGTCTCAATTCTGGAGCTGTCCTCGCTAACTCGTCCAATCTCTTCTGATCTGAAATAATCGACATAAAAAGCGTTATGGAAGGATTCACAACAAATTTTTTTTAATGTTCCAACCGGCGAAAAATAAAAACGATTATTGTACTCACTAGGCATAACATTTTTCGAATGCAACTCCGTGCCACAAACACTGTTTAACACCCCAATCTGCTGCGTCACAATATGCATTTTTGCATTCAGATCCTCGATTTCGGCGCGATATTTATCGTTATCAACCTCCGTCATGTTCTCACAATCAGCTTGCATGGCTTCTTCCATCTCAAGCTTCTCATCCGCGTATTTCTTACGTAGTGCGAACATTTCTTCTCGTTGCATACAAGCGTGGCTTCTGGTAACGAAGTTTTCCACCTCATCCCCTATCCAATTAGTCAAAATCTGCATTTGATTCTTTGCTTTTGGAGCATTCGCAAGAGATTCCTGCATCTTATGTTTGTATTTCGATGCTTGCGCTTGATTTTCGTCAATGGTCTTGTGTCGCGAGATGATCTGATTGCATTCCTGAAAAATATCGAAGATTTCACACCGTTATATAAATATATTCTCTTTTTGTTTCGATACTGTTCCATGCCAAGAAAAATTTTAGGGCGACATCTATATAATAGGTGAACAAAATCAAGAAGCATGGGACATCAGGCTTCCTGATTGAAGGAAATCAATCGATGATTTTTCATCGGCTGAACTACTCGTAAAATCACAATTACCCTTATTCCACAAGGCGCCTTCCATCCAAACATGACTGAAAATATTCGATTGACCGAAAAATCGTACTGGATCAAGGTGGTATAGGCAATATATATGGTGCTAATTAAATGATGGTGTTCCGAACATATCAAGATATTACTGCAATTTAAAATAGTCATGAGATAAAGCCAATTTGTCCCCTATTGAAAAAAAAAGTCAACGCTTAATTTAGTGCCCAGAAGTTGAGCTAACCTCCAGACGCTTCCGCAAGACTTTGTTCTCCATTTCCCGCTGAGCAATGAGTCTTTCTTTGGTAATCACAATCTTCCTATTTTGCTGCTTCACGCCTTCAATCTCACGCTTCATTTGCAACTGTTCTTTCCTTTTTGTGTTAGCTTCATCCTTCAGCTTCTTCATCAGGTTGACTCGGGTGCTTTTTAGCGTTTGCAACTCGGCTGCGTATTCAGCTGTTTTCTTTTCATAGTCTGCCTGTTTACGCTTCAACGATTCACGATCTTTGGAAGCCCTCTCGAGTTCCCTGGTTGTCTTGGCCAGTTTGTCTTCTAGTTCCTTCAAACGCTTCCTGCGATCGTCCCCGACTTTTTCTTTGTTCTGCTTCGAACTCAGCTCCATTTCTAACCGTTTTTTCTCTGCTTTGATATTTTCCAGCTCGGATTCCAATTCGTGAACCATGCAATTCATGTGATTTATCTCTTCGACCGTAACCACGGTTTCATTTTGAATCAGGTTTTCTTTCCGTGCAATTGACTCGTCGAGGCTTTCCAGCTCCCGCTTCACTTCCACGTTGGAGATTTCAATTTCCATGTCTTGCGAATCGTCGTTTTCCTGCTTGGCTTCGCGAGGTTCAATTAAAAAAGTAGTACGAGCTTTCTTTGGCGGCGAAGGTCCCAATTCAGCCGGTTCTTGCACATTCAGTACAGTTCCCTGCAAACCGAGCATCGCGCGGAGTTCGGCATTTTCTTTTCGCAGAGAAGCAATAAGTGCTTGAATCGGATCACGGTTCACAACCGGCTTATTCTTTATGTGCTGGGCTCTGTCAGCGTAACGAAGCGTGTTCAGAGACTCGCTGAGGTTTGTGTCAGCGGGGGAAACACAGGCCAGCATGAGTGTGTGAGCATTGCCGCCGAAGGAGTCCTGGAGAAGACGGGTGAGTTTGGAGTCTCGGACACTCATTGTCTGTCCTTTGACTGCTTGTTCAATGACGTTTCCGAGAGCGAGAAGTCCGCGGTTGATCTTAATGCCTTCTTGTAGTCGCTCTCCCACAGCACCGGTTTTCTTCACACTTTCTGACCCAGCCAGGTCAACCAATCGGAATTTTGCCATCGTCATATCGTCTCTATAAAATTAATAGTGTTTCAAGCTCTCGCCTTGAATAATTTCGGAATTAAAAAGAATAAACAAAATGTTTAAAAGCAAAAATCTGAAGCCCGGATTTTTCCCTTCATCGGAATTATTTGAGGACATACAGCACAATACTGCTAAGCGTATTTTGGTAGAAAAATCTAAAACAAACAAAAATTCGCTCGCATCATGAGGAAATAAATGTATAGATCCAAGACATCTTTTAGTACTTTTGAACCAGAAAAGCTGAATCGGATCAAATGAGAGGTCAATTAAAATCTGAAACTATGCCTTCATGCGTTATATTTCTCGAATATTTCAAGCATTACCGGGAATCTAACGGCAACGAATGATTTGTTCTCAAAAGCAAATAGAATGGGGATACAAATTCACACGTTTTACGAAATAATCGTCCTTTCGATGAAGTTCAATTTTTATTTCAGTCCGTATCAGAGCTTTCAGTATTTAAAAATGTGCGTCATGTCACAGTTTCCTAATCAGACAAAATATCTGATTCATTGCTTGAAAAAGTTATCGAAACGATCACATTAACAGTAAATGCACTGCAACAAAACGCATTCTCCTCAAGTGTACACATTTCATAAATTTCCATTACAGATACGCAGTAGTGGGTACTATGTTCTCGCTATCGTCGTAATGATTTCGCTTACACACGTTTGAACATCAATACAAATACTGTACACCACTTGAGTGCCCCAAGGTTATCCTACGACAAACTGTCAGTTCAACTCTTAACGTACACTTGCTGACGAGCGTCGTAAGTAACGACAGCGCGGTTGTCGAGCAGCAAGCAACGGAAACCGGTTATTCTCAATCACTTCGTCAAAAGACATTACAACAGCATCGGTACAGCCAACAAGAACAGGTCCACCGCCCAGAGGGGCTTCTCTCAAAGCGATACTTTGTCCGGGATTAAATGCGAGTAAGTCACGGAATTCTTCTTTATAGAGCTCCACGTATGATATGCTAACGGAAAATTCTTTGGCGGAGGAGTATTCGGTGACGGATGAGAAGATATCCTTCAAAGCTCGCGGGATGATTCCACAAGACGATGTTTTCAGAGCTTCACTGGTGTCATTTGTTCCCATTGTGTATGTCTTTCCTGATCCAGTTTGTCCATACGCAAAAATTGTTACATTATGACCTGACAAAAAAAATGAAACACTAGAAACTTCGAAATACGCAAATTTTTGTTAAAAACAAAATCTTCTAGGCATTTCTAGATGAGTTCAGACGTTCCTGAGCATCGGCATTTCTTGTGCTTTCCGAAAATTAAACGAAATACATGCAGAAGTACTGTACAGTACAACAAAATTGCGGGAAAATGTATCGAGATGGTTAACTTATTGTCTTGAAAGTGAAAAAGGTCAGCGCTCTTCTTTTCGAGCGCATTGAACGCTACTTTCTCACAGATTTACGAAAGCAGGCGGAACTTCGTAAGACTGAGTGCATAGTTAAATAGCTATCGTAACATTCAGTGACAATAGCCCACTCATGCTAATATTATAGTTTCAGTGCAAGATTTCGTAAAATTCATCGGTAATACGACAAATATCCGGAAACAGTGAAATTTGGACAAAATGCAGAAAAAATAATGAGAAGCAAATCATACCTTGAAAGATGTTGTCAATTAATGGTCCCACGGTTAAATCATACACATAGCCTTGGTCGTCGCTTTGGTCAAAAACTGCTGAAAACGCGAAGCACTGGCTCCCAATACGAACCTGATTTTCCGATTCGACCTCAAGACACGTAGAACATCCTTCCCTTTGCTCCTTTGGGATCAGAGGGCGGATACGCACAGCCACTTTTACGTTAACATTTGCGGAAGACATCGTTAATTATTATTTTCGAATGATCTCCAAAGGAAATATAAGAAACAAAAACTTGGCCATCCAATCAAGTCTCTGCAAAGGCAACAAAGAGTCGTATAAGCTCATTCCCAAAAACAGAACACTTCTCGAAGAACAATTGGATTCCGCACACAAATTCATTCCAAATTCACGTTTCGAACAACAGCTGACCGAAAACAAAGAGAACCCAGAAGAAAATCGCCAGGAGTTTAGTACTGGATCATTTGACCCTGAAATGGAGGAAAATGTATTGAAATTAAAAGCTGCTCCCATTGTACACACGATGATCCGAAACTCACCTTCCTCTTCTTATCACCACCCAGCTCAAAATGTTTACAACGCTTGAGAGGGATATGGTGCCGGTATTTGCATTCCGTGCACTCCAAACGAAGCACGATCTTTTTTGTCGTTTTTGCCTGAAATCCAATATAATACGTAAGCTTGTGTGGAAAAATTTCTTCAGGTTATAGATACTGTACCTTCTTACGAAAAATGGGCTTCGTTTGACCACCGTATCCCTGTTGCTTGCGGTCGTATCGACGTCGTCCTTGAGCAGTCTTCCGTTCCTTGCTTTTTTTGTACTGGGAGACTTTATGCGGTTTGTGTACCCCGCATTTCTTGCAGAAAGTCTTTCGCGCCTTGGGCACGTTCACCTTAAAGGAGCGATGATATTACAATGCGATCAAAACTAACAGAATAGAATGCTTACCATTTTCTTCACGCAGGTCTGCACCGGCACTTATCTTATAATCTGAAATAATTTGAAGCTTTTTAAAAGTTGAAGCACACGATTCAATGCCAACAAAAATGTATGCACCATGGTCTTTAAGCGTAAAAGCAGTGTTATTTGTGTACCGTGTTTATGTTATATTGTTTTCCATTACGATATAGAACTTCCGTACATGTGCATGTGTGTGATGGTCGTCGTTCTAGTGAGGATCTGGATGTCAATCCAACGAAAAGTTCAGTATTTCGTCACTAACAGTGTGGTAAAAGCTGGAAAACTTGTAAACGAGACGCGTCGAAATAATGAAAATCTCCTGCTGCTCTTTTGGAGCGATAGGTCACAGGCATCGCGGCAAGGTATTTACCAGCACCTCCGATTGTGTAAAGTATTGTCACACCAAAGGACACATGCCTTTACACAAACATCTTTCCCGGAAAACCACCTCGATTCAAAATCTTGCTGTACGTTACGTAGACGGCGTTAGGTGATCGCCACACCGCCCTTTTCAACTGCCGCGAAGATCACCGGTAATACTGTACTTGACATCGCTTGGATGATAAGAGGTATCCACCCTATTAACATGCCTACGTTGCTACGACGAACTTAAGTTAAGAGTTATTCGACGCAAATGACATGTCATGACGGTTATTTAAGGACTTTTCGCGTTGACGGTGACCTACTTTCTGAAATCGCCTGCAATCTTCTCAGTCATCACTGGCATGCTTTTCATCAGCCATATTTTTCAGGCTTTTGATGTTCAAAAAAAAGCTCTACAATGTTATGAACTGCCGGCGAAGAGCCTGACCTGGATCAACTCCTCTGAAAATTATATCTTTCATGATAGCAGCCTTGTTTCTGATCACATCAGAAGATTAAATGTTGACACAGTTCATTGCGTTTGATGGTCATGGTCGCAGTGCGAGTAACCAATAGAGGACGGGAAGCTACATTGGACAAAATAATTCATTGCACAATATATTTTTCATGAAAGAATCAATGCCTTTTACGCTGATGCCCTGCATGGTTGCCTTTCTTTGGAGAAGCTTTCCTGTCCTGATCCGTTGGATTGTTCGCAGAATATTTTTAAAATTCAAATGTAGCACGCTCGAATTTATAATTTTAGGCCTGCATTTTTTAAAATTCTTTAGTTCTGCTTCTGCGTTCTTTAATTCGTTAAATTCTAAATGTACCAACGTTTCTGTTATTTTCATCCACTGTATAATAATCCTTACATTTTCTAATACTGTTCTCTATTATTGGAGTTCTTGCACCTTTCAGTGATGCAAATTGATTAGCCACATTGAGTAGATTCGTGTCTGAGAACAAAGTCCGTAGTCTTCCAGCTTGCCCAATGCTCTAGGCAAAAATTACTTCATAATTTTCTGCTCTGATGTACAGTATCATAAGGCTCTCTTCATATTATTTATTTGTAAGCCATAAACTTATTTCTAATAATTTGACAATAAAAATAAAATTATAAATGAATTAAATTAAACATAAGAATTTCCCCGATTTTTAAAAAAATATGTCGAGCCTCAAAGGAGCTAATGGTGCATGAGTACAGACATGAAAACCGTGATATACCGCATACTTGCTCAGTATTATTGATTTAACAAACCTGGTCTACATTGGACAAAATAATTCATTGCACAATATATTTTTCATGAAAGAATCAATGCCTTTTACGCTGATGCCCTGCATGGTTGCCTTTCTTTGGAGAAGCTTTCCTGTCCTGATCCGTTGGATTGTTTGCAGAATATTTTTAAAATTCAAATGTAGCACGATCGAATTTATAATTTTAGGCCTGCATTTTTTAAAATTATTTAGTTTTGCTTTTGCGTTCTTTAATTCGTTAAATTCTAAATGTACCAACGTTTCTGTTATTTTCATCCACTGTATAATAATCCTTACATTTTCAAATACTGTACTCTATTATTGGAGTTCTTGCACCTTTCAGTGATGCAAATTGATTAGCCACATTGTGTAGATTCGTGTCTGAGAACAAAGTCCATAGTCTTCCAGCTTGCCCAATGCTCTAGGCAAAAATTACTTCATAATTTTCTGTTCTGATGTACAGTATCGTAAGGCTCTCTTCATCTTATTTATTTGTAAGCCATAAACTTATTTCTAATAATTTGACAATAAAAATAAAATTATAAATGAATTAAATTAAGCATAAGAATTTCCCCGATTTTTAAAAAAATATGTCGAGCCTCAAAGGAGCTAATGGTGCATGAGTACAGACATGAAAACCGTGATATACCGCATACTTGCTCAGTATTATTGATTTAACAAACCTGGGGGTCTGGCTGTTAGCAGAAATGAAACTCTAGAAGTACCCCTACGACGCGCCCGAAAAAAAAACCACCTGTCCAATAAAAATATTTTGGAATAACTTTAAATACTGCACTTGCACAATAATAATCCATCACTTAAGCTCTCTGGAAAACAGAAGTAGCACATACCCTCCAGTTCAATCCGAAATCATGCACCATTGACAGAATAAAAACAAAATCCGTAGCGCTGCTCTTCCAAAGAAAAAAATCTTTATCACATACGTGGACAATCTAAGGAAACTGACACAACATCTCCGCGAGTCATTTCAAGGAACTAGACGGCAACAGAGAACCCATTCAAAACTGGCTCTCTTCACACAAAAACACAAGAAATGAGCAGAGCAAAACCATGAGAATCACCACCATGACGCGATTTTTGCACCTCTGATAAATTCTCGGTTGTTTCTTCAACTCAAAACACATTGTTGCAGGTTGGATTGCAGCATGGCTTGAAAAAAACGTTTCACAAGACGAAGAACTCACTTCGGCAACTGCAACTGAGGGATGATGCAATATCAGAGAAAATGCAATGCATTCAATTCGCTTCAGACACGAGCCATTTTCTCCCACTCACAGACTGGACTACCTCTAACAAACCACTTTGAATAATAATGCCTGGAACAACACTAGTGACTGGTAAAAGGTGGTGACCATATCGAGAAATTCTCACAGCGCTCTATGCAGATTCATTTGGTGCATATCTGCGTTTGCCTCAAAAAGGGGATGATACTGCACTGCTGCAAATCTAAGGAAGGGAAACATCAAAAGCTGACTGAACCTCGTAGCGAGAAAAAGGCAACATGCTTCACATCGCCATCAACAAGAGAAAAACACCCGCTCTAGCAATTACCTTGCTGAGCGAAGAAGAAAATATCCTCTTTGTGTCATCTTCTGAAGATATGCGAACAGACGTGCACGAGAAAACTGATTCAATCCGCTGCCTCAATTATTCCTACTTCATTTCAGAGGAGATGCGAGAAACTGGATTCAATTACCCCTTAGGGGCATAACTCGATCTCCCAATTCTCATCTTACATAATTCCGCATGGCATGCATGCAACGAGAAAAATTTGCTAGGGACACACATTGCATTGTGAAAAATAATCTCAATCAAGAAAATAAAATTTGGACCAGGCTCACTTCCAAACCTGTTCGGGACTTCACGATCAAAAAGTTGCATTAATGCCGAGTGCCGGTAGACAGAGACGAATCCAAAAAAGTTGTCGCACGAGAGCTTCCTTCTACTCCACGATTACAATAGTATGTCTACTAATTATTTCAATCTATCACCAGAACAGCCAACACATAGAATCTTAGAAGCTAATCCTCCATCTCGATGTCAATGCAAATGCACCGTAACTCGTAACGACACAGCTCTCCCTACTAACAAGGCTAAAAGTGAAACATGCAAGAAGTGTCGGTACTGCTGCAGTGCAGGCAGCTTACGTATACTGAATCTGGGGCAGCAGCAACTACCTAAGGGCATGCCCGAGAAATGGATAACACTTTTAACTACTCCCTAACTCGACAAATCTTCAATTCAGCAGCTTGCTCATCTGTTCACAGACTTTCACGAAGAGCTGCAAAGAAGTTTCCTCAAGAAGTCAGACAAACCCGTAAAACTGGATCAAAACCATTCCCCCGTCAGGTAGTATGGGGTTGTTCCACAAAAAAAGAAAGAAGAAGGGGAATAGCTTGTCCACATCATCAGATGAGAAAAAATTGACTGAATAGTAGCAGTACTGGCAACCCACACATTTTCCGGTTCTCTCTCCCCCCACCCCTATCAAATGTCAATCCGCCTCTGAAGATGCTGCAGCCGAATGCTGCTCCTCTGAAGTGTCCATCTTGGCTGTCAGTGCAGAGGCGCCATCGATGTTGCAGGTATCACAGTTCTCTTTGTTGTCCTCATCCTCAGCACCACCAGGTGTTGGTCCTGCTGGTGCAGGGGCTGACGCAAGCAGCAAGCCACTGGTATCATCGCGCAGTTGGAGAGCCACCACAAGGTCCTCCAAAACATTGGTCTCCTTGTCATCAATCATGCGGTACTGGTGGTTAAATAGAATCAAGTGCGCAAACAAACAGTTGAGGTGCGAGTGCAGGTTCAGCAACACAATTTCCTTGAAATGTCCATGGTACAAATGGGCTATCACATGGAATAACAGCCCAAGGATCTTCTTCACCAGGCTCTCGAATGATGCTGGGAAATCTCCTTCTGTAAAAACAAATAACACATACATTTTAAAAGTACCCTCAGATTTTCCTTCATGTCACGCCATTTAATTCGCCCACAAATCATGCTTCCCAACAACATTAAAGGAATCGAAAAAATACAGTACAGTATACAAAAATGCACAGCATTTATGAACCACTCACCAAATTTTGTGGGGAAAATGGACTCGTCGCTTAATGTCTTCTGAACAAACGTCATCACGTAGTCAATGTACTGTGGAGCAGCGACTTTTGTCTTCTTGCCCTTCTCATCAAACCACAGATACTGCCTGTAAACCAAAAAAGCAAGGTCAACAAACTAACGACCACAACATATTCCGGTTATTTAATTTAGAAAAAAAAACACACACAAGAGCATTTACATTTTAGACTACACTGATCAGAGCGCATGCTCAAAAATTACGAGACTTCGCAGTAAATCGCAAATGGAAAAGAATCCTGCCCAGAAATACGGTAAAGCTGTTTTTTTAAATAAATAAAAAAAAAATTAGACACGTAACAAATCGCTCAAAAGGCAAAAAAATTGTGTTCTTAGCACTGTTAACAGATCCTGCACAGTACATAAAAATCATCAAGCAAACAAATGGAAGCACAAAGAACTAAGTGAACATAAGAAGGATACAAGTCAACAAGAGAATTTCCATGGGTGATATAAGTTATCCACTTTGACTTACCGGAGGCCTGGTCCTGTCATCTCTGGACAACCTGATATAGTGCAATACTCGGATATGGTACCATAAATCAGGTTGACATGGTTGAAGAATGCAATGGCTAGAGGAAATACACAAAAGCAGAACATTCATCAGACGCATGAATCACCAGCATTACTAAGCACGAAACGACTACGACTGCCAGCCTTTGGTCAAATACATTATACGGCACAGTTGAAGACAGGCACCATGCAAAAAATGACCACAACACAAAAATGTGTCGTGAATAACACGAAACATCGGGTTAATACAGTAACGCATTCCCATAAGGAAATAAATATTTTTCGTTCGCCTTATAATGATTCTCGGCAAATAATTCTCCCAACTGACTGCCTTCTTTTCTCATTTTTTAACAACACTTCAAATTTGCACGGCCCATTTTCTAGTACAGTAGTTCACATATTTTGGCAACCCAGCAAAACTCGAAGTAAAGTGGACCCTTGGTTAACAAACATTTACAGTACAGTATTGTCAATGAAAAATCCTTAGTCAACAAGCTAAAATTTTGCGGACTAACGCTTATTTCGGGGCAAAACGTTTGCAGTCAACAAATCAAAGTTTACCTATGTGACTGCAATTCACGGCACAGTATTTCAACTCAAAAAGCGTATTATCGACTACTGTACAGTAGTTTTTTCCCGTAATTTCCGCATTAACCCACCAGAAAGTCAACCATTTTTGAGGGAGAGCGCCGTACTGAAAAGGTTCGAAATGTTTATTGCTATTTTTTACAACAAATTGATGGTATCAACTGCCATGCTATAGACCAATCATATGGTACGTGACAGTAAATACTTAGATCTTCCTATAACAACTTCTCATTTTGGGTGAAGCCCCAGAAGTTCAGGTAACAAGCTAAAATTTTAAAAAATGCCTTCCGCAATCGCCGAATAAAAACTTGGCCACTTTCCCGAAACGAACTGTCAATTCAGAAGACTTTGCCAACTTTCCAGGGCAGGCATAAGAGTTCAACTCGTTTCGTTATTGAGCCAAAAACAAAAAAAGTCTCCTTAGACAGGAACTGGTTTCTGTCATAAAACTTATCGTGAAACAAACAAAATAAACAGAACTCACTATGAGAGGCTAGCCACTCGTTGTAATCCAGCCCAGCTGGCAAGACTGTCAATGTCCTTAGGTCCGCGTTGGTCAACTTCCGCTCCAACACCTGGTCCTGAAGGTAAAGTTTCTGTTCTTCGGCGGATTGTCCCACGCCATCCCCACTTCTTTCTTTCCGCCGACCTCGCCTGGGAAATAAAAGCATCAAATCCGTGATGAATACAATTGAAGAGTTCACTGGACTGCACAAATGCTACGATTTCCGGTGTGCATTGGTCTCACGCGCGATACGTCAATGTTCCGCTTCAAACGCTTTTCTTAGACGCGTCAGAGTAAAATACCAGATGTCAAAAGAAGCGATACTGGAGAAGTCTCTGGATAATCTAACGCTAGACAGTCACGCAGGCGTCGCCTCCATCTCGTTTCTGACTACGTTAAAAAATAACTAAACTTCAAGCGGAAATAATCCAGACATGAGCCTTTCTTCTCTTGCACCAAATTTAGCGGACCTCGCTGCCCTAACATGAATCCTAACGACTTTTGAATAATTCTCAATGAAGCGTAATGACTTTTCAAAGACATCTAAAATGTTTACAGTATTCAATATGAAATACCTTAATACTGTATCACCAACTCGAGACATCGAGTCTATTATATAAAAGAATCGGGTTTCGTGGTCCTCGCTTCTACTCCTGTGAAAATTTACTACGATTGGATACAGAACCTCCGCAACAATGTCATGGCTGTAGAGTATTTTTACGTTCCATAGGTGTGCTGTATACGGAACCATTGTCGACACGCGTGATGAATGGATTGGTATTGAATATACAGTACTGTATACTGTATTAGCGTGAATGACCCAGCAAAATGGTTGGCAAAAAATGCTGCATGGATCTTCAACAATCAAGTACAATAAACATTCGGTTGTCATGGTAATGAAAATTTAAAAATTAACGAACACCGTAATCCAACTGCCGGAAAATACAGTACAGCACATTTATTATGAAAGACTTAACATGAACAGAACCAACGACCTACGAGAACTCTTGAGGAAATTTACAACAGAGTCAGACTGTTTGAAAATCAGCATTACATTCAACTTCCACGGTAAAAAAAAACTGTTACCCACCCGTCTGGAAAAATATAAGAAAAAGGAGAGCTGAAACTGTGTCTCCACGTTTACAATCTTGCAGAATAGGCATGAGGCGGAGTACCAACACATTGCATTCATGATAGGAATGCAATAAATATCCAAAAATACTGTACAGTAAATACGGTATACACTAAATTGAACAGCACTGACGAGTCCGAATATGAGATTTCGGAATCGAGAGCATTCATCAGAATTCAAAAAAGCATGTTTGTTCATCATGAATCAGTAAAAGAAGAGATTAAGGACGATCCTTCGTGTAAGAGAGATGACATAGTTGCAATTCCAGCCAAAATGCCACCCACACTACTGTAACCAAATCTCTTTCATCCACACTATTGCTTCTCACCTTCAAGCTCACGCAATTTTATCAAATGACACGATAGTGGAACGATGGATCAAGATGAAAGGCAAGTGGTCCTCGATTTGCGAATGATTAAAATCTTGTGATCTCATTCTGTAGCATCTCGATCATCGATCAATTCACGAAATTTACACTTCACAAATACAGCCTTTAGTGAACATGTACCAACCGCAATATCAAGCAGCGTCGGAAATCTTGAATCATTCCAAGTTCCATCTCCACAATTGGTAGAAAAAAATAATAGTCGATGATCAATCACGTTGACTACGTTGAGACACACATTCACCCAACGGTGGTGTATTTCATTTAAGTTTTCAACGGCAAAACATATTACAATATTGTACATTAAACAGGAATTAACTAATTTAACGCATATAAGTCACTAGGAAGGGTACCTTCACATAACCGATTCCTCAAAACCGAAATAAAAACAATTTTTGCACCGTACCAAAATATAACCATATCGTAATGAATCGATCTATAACATTTCTGCACATTGAAATAACTTCGATTACTAGATTTTTAGAAAAAAACACGGTACAGAACTCTACAATTGATGACTGTTCATGCGTCAACTAAAATTTGCCGGAACAACCTGAAAATACAGTGGACAACATACGACACAGATGCTTCGTCTGCGTCTCCCTGACTATGTTTCTAAAAAAAGTAACAAACCCAATTGATGGTATTATACAACTCACAATAATGCACTTTCCAGTACGGCCAACAACACTGTTATCGTATTTATACGCTGAAAATTTGGAGGCATGCATTTAACACATTATAACTGAGACATTCGTTGTAAAACACTGAGTCGAACAACTAATCGAGTACATAGATCGATCATCGAGGCTCACCATAACCTTCACGAAAAATACTGCAATGAAGGTGACAGATACAGTAATATGAAAGGGAAGTTTTTCCAACTCACCCCATAAGCCAGTCAACGGTTTCCCGCAGATACTCAGGCAACCGATCCAGTTTGATAGATGAGGCTCAGAAGATAGCAGGAAAAGTGGCTGACCAAGACGGCCGATGCCCTCTGATTCGGGAGATCAAGCTGGGGCAGCTTCCTCTACAATACGACCAGCTTCCGCTGCCTGCCCCAGCCGTCAGCATTCACCAGCAAGGCGTAGGTCTCCTCGCGCAAATGTGTTCACAGTTTCGGCTAACTCGGGATATTTTCAGACGAAACGTTCGACTAACGAACTGATGAGCCCATTACAGAAGCCATTTTGCCGCCAAGGACATCGGGCCACTAGATTTTCAATCACTGTCTCCGTCTTTCACGAACGAAACATGTCAACCACAAGAAACCTGAAAACAGAAGAAGCTTGCACGTCATGCGGAATTTCACAAAAGTTTCTGATCAGCATCATTGCACTGTACCAATGAACTGCACCAAACACCTCGAAGACAATCCCATTAAGATAAATATGGTGCTAGTTGAAGTCGCTGATGAAAAAAGCTGTGTAAGACCAGGAAAGGATTTCACGAAACTAACCACGTTCGAAACCATGGTCAATCGCTGAACTGGCATCAGAACAGATAAATTGGGTCACGACAGAACAACGTCAAACGTCCAAATATTAAAGACCGCCAAAGCATATTCTTGAGAAATACAATTAACATGGTCTATGCAATGGACTGCATAGACCTAATATAATTCGCAAGAAAAATACAGAATAGGAATTTAGGAACGAAATATTTAAATTAAATATTTAACCCGTAAGAAGCAACTTCTTCCAGAAGAGTCTGAGTTGAGAAATTTCCAGTTCCTTGGTATGCCTGCCTTAATCGTGGAACACATGTGAGTTACAATCTGAAACATCTAATGCTAACAAGGTTTACAGGTGGAATATAATGAGCAACGCACCCACAAGAGATTCTTTCCTAGAAGGTCATTTCTTCGTAGGTTAATTGGCTATTGCACGAAAAGGGCGAAGGATCCTCAATTCACGCCAGATAATCTGAAGGAACTTTCTCGACAAGTCAAACATTACGAAGTGCTTAGCTAAAGCCACCTAATACTGCACATTTTCACAATTTTAATCGGACAGAGCATTGGAACTTTTCGGCAGCACAAACCAAGCTCATTTCCACTTCTGCTTTTTTTTTCTGAGTTGAATGATCCGTCACTGGCAACAGAGTTACCGCTGGAAGGTAATCAGATCACGCAATTAAAACGAATTTTCACTTCGGTTGTTCTTAGAAAACTCTGGAAATTTAATCCACACAATCAATACACCATTCCCCTACACATTCGTGGACTACGCGCATGATAAGAGCGAACATTCCGAAACTGATCTTTTAAGAGTTCGAACAGTGCATTTCTCCAGCGTCATCCTATTCGCAAACGTGGAGGATTGGGTGAATCAGACTTAAATTTCAAGGATACTACCTCGGAAAGCTAGCGGACATCCAACTTACGTGTTCTACCGAAGTCGTCACGCTGCCTGCACACACAAAGGCAGTCCCGTTACAGGACGCAAAGCACACCACAAAATGAACTGATTTCGGCGTACGGAAGAGAATGCCAACATCAAGTTCGATTCACGCGCTGTATTCCTTACGTACCCCTTCACTACACACAATGAGCATGCGCTCTTGGATGCATTCCGAGCATGTCAATACCACAAAACGCGTAACACCCACACAGCTGCAATTCTACGCCGTGGAGCAGCCATGTTACTAGATCGAACCTTCTGCACGCATCACGCACTACATCTGGCCATGGACACCAGACGTTGTATCAATAGCATATGATGACGGTAAAAACACGTGAATTGAGAAAGTGCGAGCTGGCCATTAAGATAAGCAATAAAAAGTCTTGAGCGTTCTTTTGAGTAACTCAACTGAATTTTCAAGTAGGGAAATGTTCCTTTTAAGCGATGTCACATAATACGACACAGAATATACCCTTCACGAGCCTCTTGACCAATTTGGATTGCCATGGATTGTATGGTTCAGTGAATCGATGTGAAGAGCGCAGCCATCATTGAAACAGATTTGCTCACTATCAATAACCGTAAGAGCACAAGTGCATCCAGCATGCGCGGAGACCCTGTCAAACTCATACCGTACGGTACAGTAGTAGACGGTAGTTAAAATACTTTTTCTCGTTGATTTCGGTAAACAATATATTTTTCCAAACACGGTACTAACTGGCAACACGAATCTTTTCCCGTTTAATATGCAAAGTACGATTTAAAAAAAAACGTCGGTCATTCTTGTTCAGGACTGAGCGCAGCGGATGTTGTGTTTTCCCCTCCACAGAAGTTGTTCGCAATCAGGTTGAATACTGTACCTTGATTTAAAGCACATTCTGTACTCTATTTCTCGACGTCTTTCTGGGTGGCTTAATGCAAAATGTTAGCACTGATCCATTGAGAAATAACTCGCCTCGTATTGCTGGAACTGTTTACGATGGTCATGGTTCGGTGTCGCCACCGGTTTGGCACGGAAGTGCGGTGAACTATTGCCGGTTGACGAAGACTTATGTCGTGAGGGCTTCGGCCGAACTACCGAAGTCAGGCCGATTTATTGAAGTTTCAGCAAAATATTTCGGAGCTTAGGGACTTAGGATATCAAGTTATGCAATCAAATTGATGGTCAGCCCACTGGGAGAATTTTTTTTAACGCGGTGCTTCGTGCTATTCGATCCGATCAACCTGTGTTTTACTTTCGTTCGTGTAATGCAGGGAAACAAATTCTTGTCGAAAGTGGATCACTAGTTTCTTGAATTTCAATCATTCTTCGTTAGAATGGTGAGTTATTTCAAGATTCCGCAATTCTCAATAAAAATGTACCCTGGTGGAGAAACTTTGACCCAGGAAAGATTCTTGTCATAACAGACGAGAAAGTCACTTTTATCAGTCCCTTTTCTGAACTCGATGATGATTTTTCAGTTCCGCAATCAATATGACAACGACGTCACCACGTGGAGTCCTCAAGGGAGGCTCCATCAGGTTGAATATGCCATGGAAGCAGTGAAACAAGGCTCAGCGACGGTTGGATTGAAGAGCAAAACACATGCAGTTCTGGTTGCCTTAAAACGAGCGGCTTCGGATCTTGCTGCACATCAGAAGAAAGTGATGCCAATCGATGATCACATCGGGATTTCGATTGCGGGGTTGACCGCTGACGCCAGGATATTGAGGTATGCCTATTTCTGTTTTTTTTTTTGATAACGGGAGTAACTCAGTAAATTTCCAGCCGTTATATGCGAACGGAGTGTTTGCAAAATCGCTACGTCTTCGACTGTCCGCTGCCGTTGAGTCGATTAATCGCGCGATTGGGGAACAAGATGCAGATTTCAACTCAGCGATACGATAAACGTCCATTCGGAGTAGGACTTCTCGTTGCCGGATTCGACGTGAGTGCCGTTCTTTCTGGGTAGCCGAGTTGAGCTTAATTTATTTTCTCCCTCTGTTGCAGGAACAAGGTCCTCATTTGTTCCAGACTTGTCCTTCTGCTAGTTATTTCGATTGCAAAGCAATGGCAATCGGTGCGAGGTCGCAATCGGCACGCACGTACTTGGAGAAGTTCTTGGATTCCTTTCCTGGCTGTACGTTGGAAGAGCTGATTAAGCATGGTTTGCGAGCTTTGCGGGATACATTGCCGAATGATGTTGAACTTACAGCTAAGGTAAATTGAAACTTCAATGTCTGTATAGGTAACCACATGGAAATACTTTTATTCAAATTCTCAAGTTTGGTTCGGCCGCTGTCTATCTAGCAATCCCGCGCGTTTTATGTTCAAGAATTTCACTTATGCACTTCTTGCGTGAATTATATCGTGAAAGTTTTCGTTCATTTGTATTTTACGTAGCGAATCTTTCGGACTGGGATAATGCTTCTGTGTTTTTCTAGAGGCGATAGCTTTCTTCAAGCCTCTTCAACCCACTCGAGGTTTGCCTGATTGAGAACAGTTCTCTTATGATCGAATTCACGTCTAAACGCTATCGATTATGAATTAGTGTACTGGTATTTTAATCGTTCTTCCCCAAGAACTGTTCTCCGGCTAACTAAGTTGTACAGGCGCGTACTTCACCTTTTCACAGGAATATGTTGTGAAGAATGGATCAGGAAGTATTCACCAAAATTGAAGTGACACAATTTGTCTTAAAACAAAATGCAGCGATTACTTACGCCTATTTTTTTATTTCAGAATTGCTCCATCGCGGTTGTAGGGAAGGACTTGGACTTCACCATTTACGAGGACGACGAAGTTGTTCCTTATTTGAGATCAATTGAGGGCGAAGAACGGCGTCCCGTTCCAGCTGCTGCTCCGGAAGAGCCTAGGGATGATGGACAAGATCAACCTCCTCGCGATCCCGAACCCGATGTTGCAATGGAAACCTAGGTAGCATCTCGCACGAACCAAATTCCCGGCCTATCATTTCCCTGTATTTTTTCGGTTTTGAAGCTCCGTGTCGAGCCCTTTTTTCTGTCTGCGAGGTTATAAAAACTTTGGCCTTATAAAGGACATCTCTTATAAAGGGAGGTCGAAGAAGCCGTGCGCAACTGTGTCCATTTACTCTCTATGGTGGGTTAAATATTTCCTAGCTTCTCTTTACACAGGACGTTGTTTTTTAATTATGGAAAGTTCCGAATATGAATATATTTTGGGCACATGCGATATGCACCCCTTTAAAAGTAAAACTTTTGAGCAATATTGGGCAGAACTCCGGTAATTTTCTTTGCTTCAGGAAAATATGATGTCCTAAATCAGTTGCCTGTTCGCCACCTCCAAGTGATACATTAAGCAGTGAAGACGAGATAATTCCACGAAATTTTTGGTAGAGCAGCTGCTTCGCATGAGTGAATAGCCTCGAATCCACGGGCGTACACACCGTAGAGGAGCCCTCATTTTTCTTGAATACCACACTTGGGCATGGCGTGCTTCAATTTCGAATTGCTTTTGTTGAATCATTTGTCAAAATTTTCTGCTGTAACTTGACTGCTAAATTATCATTTCTCATCCTTGAAATGTTGAGCAGTTTCAATATTATGTAAGTCCGTAGTGTCGGTGAACTCTCTGAAACGAATTGCAAGGACCGTAAAAATTATTCGTTGGGGAGAACCCTTAAGGGAACATTTTACTGGAATCATTCTGTACCCACAATTGCTGGGATAAATGGGTTTTTTTTTGCAGACCATTGAAACTCTCGATAGAGAATGAAATACGAGTAATACCAGCCAATCCATTATTGTATATCTTCTTGCTCGATTGAAAGGTTGAGGGTTTGAGTGAAAAGAACCGCATTTTAATCACCTTAATCCGTTGCTAAATCTGGGAATATGACTTTCATCAGCTTTTCACTTAAGCCTCGCCGCGCAGTGTTCTAGAGAAATGGAAGTGACAAGAAGAAAATATGGTGTGAATATTGTGGTGCCCACGGTTTCCGAGGGGAACCGAAGAGAACCCTCTGTGGTCCATTTAGGTTTGGTATGATGGGGAACACTTCTGCGCGTAACAAACGCGCTGTCGTCTGCTACCCGTGCGACCTGAAAGAACTCCATGGAATTTCCTCGTCCACCGAAAACTCGCTTGCTAGTGATGTAACGCTGCCTATAGACCTGGGACAGTCTGAATACATTGACTTCGGTTTCATCAAAGAACCAGAAACGGTGAATTTCGTGAAGAAAAATAAGGTAAGAACGTGTGGTTGTTCTCCTTTTTTGTTTTGATTCGAGACAATTCCTGTTTTCATGGGTCTGCCAGGTACTTTTTGTCCTCCGTGGTCTTCCAGGTAGTGGGAAGTCTTATATTACCCGCGTGCTTTTATCTGTTTATCCCAATTCGGTGGCTTTCACAGCTGATACTTACCTTCTTAGGCATCCTGATTTAATCCTGAATTACGGCGTGTTGGATGAAGCCCATAGACATTGCTTGAATGCTGTTGGGAAGGTTAGCAAAAGGGTTCCCTTTTTGATTTTGAGAAATTATTCCATGGGGTGAAACAAATCATACATATTCTAATTTTTAAGGAATGTATTAATTCTGGAAATTTTTGTGTGATTTTCAAGAATACCAGTTTCTTAACTACAAGATACGGGATTGTTTAGATCTTCGATGTATAATATTTACTTGCATTAAATTAGCAGAAACCCTGGTCAAAACTTGCAAGGAATTCATGAATATCATCATTAGCCGATCATGTATCTCATCAGACCTTCAAACTGAGAAATGTCTTCGGCAATTGTATGACGCCATGTTACTTGTTCTAATTATTTTTGAAAACTTATTTTTACAGAATTTGTCAGAAGTGCACAAAAATTTGACAATATATACTAAGTTATCACTGGTTAAGATGTACATTTTCAAATTTCTCCCTTGAAATTCCTTTCCGAATTTGTCCTTAAATGGAATACATGTATTGAATTCTTGGAAATCGAGAGATGAATTCTATCAGATATTTTCTCTTTGTTGCACTTTCAGTTGTTTCTATCCTCAACTTGATCTGTAGTTCCTCTAAAAGCCCCCTGCAGAATTGAGATGTTCAATGTTTTAATCTACAGCAATGCCATTATCTTTTTGATGGATGTGCATTTTGAACCTCCCAATTGAAAAAAAAATAGTTTTCTGTGAATTCGAAACTGCCCCGTGATTTTGTTTTGTAATACGATGTTGGAAATGAACGTGTTTTTAATGAGCAAAAATGTGGTAGGTTTTTTAAAAATATTAAATAGAGAACCTTGAGGTGGGGTTCAAAGACGTTCAGTATTTACCCCCTACTTTTTTCCAATTGTGTTCTTCGCAAAGGTGATACGTTTGGGTCAAAGTCCCATCATAGTGGATAATACAAACGTTACTCGCCGTGAAGCCAAGCAGTATTTGCGCGTGGCCAAGGTGTTTGGTTACTTCGGCCTGGTGATTGAGCCCAGAACACCCTGGAGGTTCTCTCCCACAGCACTGACCAACAAGACGAACAAAAGAGTCGTTCTTGCTGTTGTTCAGAACCGGTTGAATGCTTGGCAAGACCTCGCGCCGTTGAACTATGCGTGCTACTTGAACACGACGGACACGAAACGCGTTTTCAGTGTGTTGGAGACTTTACTTCATAGCGTGTTCCAGTGGGTTATCGAACGCACTTCGTAACGAATCTATAAGCTGTCCACCGGTGGAATCTCTCCACGTAGAAATTTATTAGACGAAAAATAATAATTCGATTTAGAAAGCATTTTTTTGTAGTGAACCCCTGTAACATGGGAAAGGAACCCTGTGGGACTGAACCAAATTCGTTAAACAGAGAAAATCGTTTTGGACAGGATTATTGTTGAGTGTCCACCTTGATATAGTATAATAGCGATATTCCTTTTCTGTTCATAGCGAACTTTATGAGGACACCTGCTTTGACAAAGTACCGTATTCACGCTAATATGAGCAAACCTCGAAAATACCCCCCCCCCCCTAACTTTATCATGCACAAAATTACAATTCCATCAATTGGCGGATTACATATAAGCACTCAAATACGTCCCTCGTATTCTGACTTTCCAGGAACCTAAAATTCATGACTGAAGTTAGGTTGCTTTCTCTCAAGATGGCTCTGCGTAGAATTGAACTTCTTACTTATTGGCAGTGGCATCTACGGATGTTGAAACGATTTTCAATTGCAATGGACGAAGTTGGATACATAAAATATTGACATCAGAACTCTTACTGTCTCTAATATCTCACTTGAATCGTTTATCTCACTTAAATCGTTCATGTTTATGCGATCTTGTTCTTAAATCTTTCGGATCATAATAAAGAGCGATGAATGGTAATAATTGACTAATTTCCGAACGTTTATTTTCCAGATGGAGGCTTGTGTTAGAAGACCTTTCGGCCTTCAAAGGGGAGGAAGTTTCGGCTAGTGAAATGATCGCATCGTACTGGAAACACAAGGGAGACGATAACAACATGCTGAAGTGGGTTGTCAAAAAGGGAAGTGATTTGACACCAGATGGTTTCTACTCCGTGGGAAGAGTCGTGAATTTCAAAATCGCAACTTTCCTGATGACTCCTAGGGACATCGGAGCAAAAATACTGCCTACATCTGTAAGTTATTTTCTGTACACTTCGACGGGAATATGAATTTTGTCAGCCTAAATCCTTGAGTTTTCGAGTCCCACTTCGTGTTTCAGAATTCTTTGAACACAAGGATAAAAATCACTTGACCAGAAGCAAGCGTATGTTTTTTTCTTTCTCTGTTGCCGTTACAGTCGATTCCATTCCTCGTTTCAATTTATAGATATTTTTAGGTTAACCTTTTGTTTCATCGTTTTGGCTCGAAAATGCATAAGGAATTTGTATTAAAATTAGTTCGCATGAATTGTTTCGTTACTTGTTGTTGCGAACAGTTCGCATATTTGTGGAAACAATTTGAAAAATCTAATTTTAACCATTTTTTCAGCTCAAGATAATGTCGGATGACCCGGAAAAGGAAGTTGAAAGCGAATATGCAGTGATGAGCGTTTTATCTGGATCGCACTGGGAAATCGCGATCGATAGCATGCAACCCTTGGCAGATCTAGAATCATTGCATCACCAAAAATTGCTCAAAGATGGCGTGGAGGATTTTTCGACCGGTGTTAAAATCGTCCGGCTTGATCGCTGTGGTTATGCGTTTTATCCGTCCTGTGATCTTTCATTTCAAGGATTATTTTCTGGCTGCTATTTTTAGGAAAGAAATGTGGTCTTGACCTTAGTATCTTCGTTATTTTTGTAACTCGGTTTATATTTTATTTTCGGTGGAGCAGAATGAAATTCTCGGGGTAGCCATTGATCTTCTGGAGGGAGCCGAGGATTTCTTTTCGAAGTTCCGATATGAAACAGTGAGGGAAATTTTCTACGTGATGATGTATGGCAGTGATTAACAAGTTGGGGGATTATTCGTTGGATCTTGGCTTGAAGTAAGTTTTTGTTCAAGCATTTCTATGATTGTCAGAATTGACCGGCATTCTTTCTCTTGGTGCTTGATACATTCTTGATCTCTTGAGAAAAGCAAGTGCATTGTGTTCTACTTGCGTCAGGAATTCCACTAGGCCATCTAAAAGGTGAAGATCATGCCACAATATCTTCCTTCCATAAGTGACCGTGTTTTTCTGGATTGTAATTTTTGTAGTCAGTCTGAATTTTCAAGTCCCTCGTTTGTCGTTTCATTGACGCTTTCTTTTTACAGAGTCATCTTCTATGGAAGTGTAGTATCATAAATAGTGCGTATCACGATGGTTCTGGGCTTTTGGCTATGTGCGTATCAGATTTTCGCTGTCGGTTCAAGGTCTCTTGTACATCATGATCTTGTATCTATAATAAATAGTTAATTCAGACAAATTGCCGCAAAATTAATTATCTAACCAAATTATTATTGGGTTGGGGAGATAAAATTATTCAATCCTTGGATGCATTCCTGAAGTTGTGTGTGTTGCGGATGGATTCCTGAAACTTTGAATGGGCCAATGTTTCGTCCAGTCGTCGAATATGAACATGGTTACGTGTAGTGAAAAGGTTTCTAGAGCATTAGGTGTTAACTTGTCGTAATTAAGAGAAATACTGTAATGATAACAGGCATAAATTCAGAAATTATTTTTACGAAAAATAGATGTAATCAAGAGTGATCATAACCTGTTTTATTTTCGGGATTTCTGAAAATTGATTCAGGCTAGAATTATTGAAAAGGTTTCTCGTCATGTAGTGCAAATTAAGTCACGACTCATAACTTCACTTCGTTGGTGCGCGAAAAGTACTGATTTATGAAGGCAAACTTTCATTTATAATTTTTTATTGGAAAATCGGATGAAAATAAGTTTAAATCTAACTATCGTGAAATTTAAAAAAATATTCTGAGCAAGCCTTACGATGTGAGATTTTATCTCTGCAAGGGATTACGATGGAAATCATGCAGTTTATCTTTCAGTGAATGCACGAAGAAGAAGTATTTTGATGCCTTATTTTAGACACACACAAAAAAGTCTTCTGTCTTGTGTCACCCACGAAAGAAGGAATTGGAGTGCATCAATGATTTGGAGAAGGGGCTTGTCGTTTTTTGTGATTCTGATCAGAAATTTGATACGTGTGAAATGCATACAGTCTCTGCTGCTTATAAGCGCACTTGTTATTGAATTGAGATGAGCTTATTCTTTGCGTTCGCTCGTGAGATCTGCTTTCTCTCTTGTAGAGGGTATGTTTTGTTCGTGTATCTCGGTGCGTTAGATTAAGATCAGACTATTGAAGTTGGGTTTCTGATTCTTTTCTTAGTATTGTACCTGCACTTGATTTCAGCCAGTTTCACGAACTCTAGTTTTCTAAAACTGTACTTATATTTCCCGCGGTATTCGTTTCTTGTCCGGAAGCTCCGGAATAAATAAAAACCCGCTCATGAATATTTTTCCAAGTACGAGTTTTCCTTTTTTCGTTCAGTAATTCAGAGTTTAAAAAAATCTATTTTATGATGTATCTCCGTAGATTTTGTAGATCCTCAGAATCTGGAGATCATTCGTTTCACGTGTGTTCAACCAGAAAGAACTTCGGTGATACAGGATTTTCTAACCCTCGTTCGAGTCACTTTTTTCAGGAAGAAGGAAGTTCGTGCACTTTTTGTGTTCGCGGATTGTTCGGAACTTGTTCTGACAAAAAAATGGCAGTAGTATCTGACTTCGACAGTGTGGAATCAGTGCTGGAGACAGAACTTTCAAAGGAAAAATATGAATATGTCCGGAACGTTCTGTATGGGAAAAAGGTTTCGTAAGTAGTACTTTCATTGAACGCCTGTGTGATTCTTCGGCCTTCTGTCAATGTTGATTAAATATAAATCAATTTATCACCCGTAAACGATGCATAACTGTGTGCTGTTGCTGTAAGAAAATCGTATTGTTCGTTCTTCGAATTTATTCTTGTACTATTGTATTCTATATTAGCAACATGGATGTGGATGCTGGAACCCGTGCAGATGCGCTGGCCAAGAATTTCGACTTGAAAGCTTTCAAGTTCGGAGCTTCTGCGGAATCAACGCGTTTTCCTCGACTGTGTCGAGTAGGTTTGGTACAAAACTCAGTAGTTGCACCCACTGATGCACCCATTGACTTCCAACGGAGTGAAATTCACGCGAAAATTGAAGCAATCTCTGCCATAGCCTTCAGCTGCGGCGTCAACATTCTCTGCATGCAAGAAGCTTGGAGTAAGATTTGTTGCGTTTCTGGGAAAGTGTATGCTTTAAGCGTGTTTCGAACTCCCTTTCCTCTCAAATTTTGATTATTCATGATAATTCGCGATAATCTTGAGATTTTCATGTCGAGTGAATTCCTGTAATTTTGTTGCTGTACTTGATTCTGGTCTGTTGAATTAATTTTCTAATTTTTTCGCGTGTCATGTCACTTCGAACGCATTTTGAAATTGTATATTATAAGCTTGATACACTCCAGTTTTGGGTTCATGTATTCGTAGGAAGCGAGTTTTGTACTTGTGCTAGTAGGTTGACGAATTTTTGCGATGACCCTCGCTTACGGAGTGGGACGATTCTGTGAAAATATATTTGAAACTTCAAAGGCTGATGGTAAAATCGTTGGAATCACAATACTGTACTATGCATTAAATTAGTTTTTCATATTCCTAAACATTTTTAAACAAGAAAATTGAAGAAATGGGAGTGCTTGTGCCGTGAATTATTTGTTGGGCGATTTGATTTCGAGTTTTATCGGTCTTGCGACCCTGATTTGTTATTACAACTTTGCATTTTTTACTCATATTTTTTAGCCATGCCATTTGCATTTTGCACTCGTGAGCGTCAGCCATGGGCAGAGTTCGCGGAGAGTGCAGAGAAAGGTCCAACGACCAAGTTTTGTCAAGAGGTGAGACCCATGCGAATACTTGCTCATCGGTGTCCGAAATTTGATTTATTTACTTTTTTCTTTCACCAAAGCTGGCAAGGAAATATAATATGATGATAATTTCACCCATTCTGGAACGTGATGAAGACAATGGTGATGTGATGTGGAACACAGCGGTGATAATCGAGAACGGAACTGGACGAGTGATGGGTAAGACCAGGAAGAACCACATTCCAAGAGTCGGTGACTTCAATGAATCTTCTTACTACATGGAAAGTGAACTCGGCCACCCTGTGTTTCAGGTGTGTCTAAAAATCGTCACCCTATCTGCAAGTTTTTTTTTCTTCGTCTTTTAATCTTCTGGAATTTAAATACTGTACTGTAATTACTTTCTGTTATGAGCTAAATGGATTTCTTTGTTCTTCAAACATTTTTCAGACTCAATGGGGACGAATCGCTGTAAACATATGTTATGGTCGGCATCACCCCTTGAACTGGGCCATGTTCGGCATAAACGGAGCTGAAATCGTTTTCAATCCGAGTGCGACTGTCGGGAATCTAAGGTAATCATGCTTTTGGAAATTTTCAACTACACTGTCTTATTACAAAATTGGTGAATAACAGTATCACATGCATTATTAGTCACCCCATTATTTCCTCAACTCATGCACTGATTGCGATTAATAATGGAGAAATCGTCTGGAAACGTTTTTGTGGAAGGCACGATTTTGTGAAATCGCAGGAAGATTCCTTTTTTTTTTCTTCGCTGGTAATTGCTGTAATCCTCCATTTTCCCGGATACAGTTAATAAAGGCATTTTAAAACTGCTTAATACAGTCCTGTATTTAAATTTCCAAAGGTCGTTACTTTTTTGTGTTGATCTGATTTTGAGATCAAAATTATAAATGGCTTTTGCGAGGCTTTAAATTAACCTCGGTTAATGGACTGAATCCTTTAGTCCAAAATTTCCAAAAGTTTGTAGAACAAGTATGTGGTGATGTAACCTATGTGGAGTTTCGAATCTGTCCCAGACTACCGAATATGAGTTATAGAAAGCTTCTGCGGATGGAATGGTTATACGAACATTAGTTAGGAATATAAAATTATATACAGTAGCAAATTTTCTTTCTCGAAGTCGGCATATTTTGATTCAATTTCCTTGTGATTGCAGTGAACCCTTGTGGGGTATCGAGGCACGAAACGCTGCGATCGCTAACCAGTATTTCACGTGTGCCGTAAACCGCGTCGGCACTGAGCAATTCCCACACGAGTTCACGTCAGGAGACGGAAAGCCTGCTCACCGTGACTTCGGCAATTTTTACGGTTCCAGTTATGTGTCAGCACCTGATGGCTCTCGTACCCCGGTAACTTGATGCGTCATTTTGTTTCGTACTTCGAACTAAGAATGTGAAATGTGCATCATAAAGCAAGAGGATTGTATGTAAGGATTCAACAGTAAAGGATCGTATTGTAGATGCTCCAAAATTTCTGGGAATGAGTACTCATCAGACTCGGCAGTGCTGTATGTCTTTTCTTGATTTTGGAATGCTCTTCTATAACATTTTGAAATCACTGGATTATGTGTGTACCCATTCGTCAGCCTTCTTACGAATAATCGTGTGTTCACATTGAGATCAATTAGCATTTATCACATGTGTTCTCTTATCACCCCAGGGACTGTCGAGGACGAAGGATGGGTTGTTGGTTGCTGAATTAGACCTGAATCTCATCCGACAGTCGCGGGATCATTGGGGAATCATTGTAGGTTCTTGTTTGATGTCGCATTCTTAAGACGTGTTTAACTCTTGATTAAATATCTCATTATTTTCATTGGAAGATGACCAGACGACTGCCGCTGTATGCCGAATCTTTTGCAAGAGCATGCAGGCCGGACTTCAAGCCGCACATCATCATGTGAAATATATCTTAAATTACATCAGCATATCACTAGCATATCAATTTGGAGTCGACAAATCGCTGTATTTTACGGCTGCGTGATCGAAATAAAAACAAAAAAAAGTTCTGCCGAAATCGTTTGACCGAAAGGTGTAGTAAAGGATGTTCCAGTTCACGCGAACCTTCGGATCTTCAAATGCGTTAATTTTGTGCAATATTTCGTGATGAGATAAGCGTTGAACCTTTTATTTTTAAGTCATGAGATGGCATACGTTGGGAATTCACGCATTCTTTGTAACACTTCGAACCCTAATAGCAGGATTATACGTTTTTTCGGTGCCTAGTTCAGTTACCGATGCGCTTAAGTCATCTGGGCTTGCTTCGTGATACGTAGTTCATGCATTCGGTGGTCCAGTTGCAAATTGATTGCCTCGGTTTATTGCTTGTTTCCGTAGCTGGTGTCACACGTACGTGTGTCAGACCAGCGCCCACCGCTGTGGTAGTGTACGCTGAAAAAGTGAGAAACAAATCGGTACTTGTCCAGAAAAAAATCAGCTATTGATGATCAAAAATTGCTGAAAATATCTTTCATTTTCCTTTTTATTAATGAAAAAAGTCTTGTCCATTAAAACTTCCAGGGTTACTAACCAAACTGAATTAGACTCCTGTCTACCGCGTAGAAACTGTAGTATTCTTCGCAAAAAGCATCTTCTGCTTAGTCCTGTAAAGTTGGAACAAGTGTTGTCCGCACTTCGCTGTTTTTGGCATGGGTTGTTTTGAGAGGCGGTCAAATGGCCAGTTACAATGAAAGCTACGGTTTTAGCACAACCCTCTGTTGTTTTGTTTTGCCACGTGAGAAAACGTCGAATATTTTATTGTCGTGTGAAGTGTTTTAGTGCAGTGCTGTATTTTGTGCGGTGCATGTTTCAAATGGAATGCCTCATTTTCTTGATTAGTAGCTATATTTCAAGCGCCGCTTGCTTTTCTCTAGTGAAACTTGCTATTACTGATGGAAGGGCATTTCTTTATGCTTTTGTTTGTCGTGAAGTGGTGTGTCCAAAAGGTTGCTGTGCAATGGAACTCATATGCATGAAACAAAATGATACAAGAACCTTACAAAACATTCTTTTAAAATATGCTCTAGTGATGGCAAACGTGTCATCAAACGGTTGGGAATGCATATCTTATGTTAAATTTATCTATAATCTACCATATTTGAAGTAAAAGCATTATTCCCATCTCAATCAGTGAAATTACAAGTACTCGAGCGTTATGGTTCAGTACGTGGTATGTTCGAAAATCTACGTTTTACCCCAAGGTTACGAAGACTACGTCCTGAATGGAGCTACCGAATTCTGCAAATATTTGAAGAACCCTACTTGAGATGTCTAAACGCTTACATTATTGCGTCCTGAGTCAAGGATAAGGTATAAATATTTTCGTTATTCCAACCTCCCAGCTTGATCATGTTTGAACATCAAAACTACTCCACTACTCAGCTTCTAGAAGAAAATATTTTTTTCCTTCAAAAATTAATTGAAACGTGCGAGAAAATGTCTCTCGATGCTCTCCAACGTTGTCTGAACGCCGAACGTTTCATTAATTTTTCAATAGAAATCACGGGTGAGTGAATTTTGTAATTTAGAGAAATATCCTCCCCGTGTTGTTCGATGGTCACTCATAAACTAGACTTGAACTCGGTCCACTGCACCAGCACGTCAATGTTTTGGACACTCCAGAGAAATCTATGTAAGTGGGCCTGCATTTTGAGATTGGGTAAAAAATCTTCTGAATGATTGTTCTTCCGTGAAACGCAAGCATGCCGAAGTTATTTAGCCCCGCTTTACTAGAGCGTGTGATTCCTAAATTCTCAACAAGACTAATGAAGGGTTCATGATCTTGACAAACAGGAAATAGCAGCATCTCCTCGCTGACTATGAGTTTTGTTTCGCCGGATGTCGTTTCGGACTGGCTCCTTGACGTTGAGCCAGTAAACGCGTCACTCGTCTCACAGCGTCCCTTGAGCCTTCACCTGCTCCACCACCTCACGGACGCCGTGTCGGCATTGGACGCCACGGTGGTGTTCATCGCAACGCGGCTCGGAACCAACGAAGCCGGCCTTCGCTTGATCCTCTCTCTTCTTGCCGGATATCCGATCGCAGCGTTTCACCGGGTCTTGGTTTCCGGTGCGCCGGGTGTAGTGCAAAACGGATTCTTCTTCGTCTGTGGCTTGGTTTTAAGTGCGTTCAATCAAGGGTGGAAAGTGTGTCACGCGATAGTGTGCATCCTCGTGCAGTATGGAATTCTGGTGACATGGGGAAAGACCTTGGTGTCCCCGTTGGCGTCCGTGGTATTCCAGATGTTGTACCTGTTGTTCGGGTACTGGCAGACTGATAGAGAGGCTTATAACAGCATCACCTGGACATTGCCGCATTGCGTGTTGACTTTGAGGTTAATTGGGATCGCGTTTGACTACTACGACGGACAACAGGATCCGGTGAGTGCTTCTTGAAATTATCAGACCTACATCTTTTGTAGTCTGATATCAGTATCTCTTTTCTGTATGTATATTGAAAAGAAGGAAGTGAGAAACTTCATTTCATTTTGGTTCAGTCATTAGAAACGGTATTTCGACATCCGTTGTGGCACTTCAGACGGAATGAGTCTAGTTCTAAATTTGCAATGCTTCTGAATTTATCAGAAGGATAAAGTAAGATGCATTAATTTGATGGTGCCCAAATCTTAATTGACGAGTGGAGAGGAAACTCTTCAGTCGCAATTGAGACACTTCATTTTTTTTCGATTTATGTGTAAGTTGGGGTAGTGACATTCAAAATTTATGGGAATGCTTTGGATGGAATTATTTTTTCGAACTCCAGCTGAATTCCTGGGAGATTTCATTTATTCTGTCAGGATTGGTTTGCAGAACTTGCTGTCAGAGGAGCAGAAGTCAAATGCATTGAGAAGATGTCCGTCTTTCTTGGAGCTCGGAGGCCACGCCTTGTTTCCGGCATCGTTTCTTGTTGGACCGCAGTTTCCAATGAAGAGGTACAAGTTCCTTATTCGCGGGGATTTGAAAAATATTCGAGACGCAAAAGGGGATCCTCTGTCGCCGCCATTGCATTTGGCTCTTGGACGCCTCTCCTTGGGTCTTTTGTACACGAGTGTTTATGCTGTTGGTTCCCGTTATTTTCCTGCCGAATACGCAGCGAGTGATGACTTGTTGGTGAGCGAATTTTTATAATTATAGCAGGTGTACTTTTTGCTGATAAACGGGTTATATCCTCATTTGTTAAAAATATTTTCGAGGGTACGTTTGTTTAGTTCTATACGAGTTTGATGACTTGGACTTCCAGCTGTTAGTCTTTAAATTTCGTCCGTGAATTTACTATTTTGGTGAAACAAATGATTTTTTGTTGAAGATAATGTGTTTTACCTGTCCATTCTTTTCTGTTTCTGTGTTGCAAATGTCCGATATATTACAGCATTACAATTTGTATGTTTTACAGAACCGACCGCTTTGGCAGCGACTGTGCATTCTCGTCGTTTGGGCAAAGGTGAACGTCACGAAGTACCTCGGATGTTGGTTAATCACGGAAGGTGCTTGCATTCTATCCGGGCTGGCGTTTAACGGGTTTGAGGAGCAACCAGATCCCAAAGATCCTACCAAGTCTGTCAGGAAACCGAAATGGGACGGGTGCAGGAACATTCATGTTAGCATTTACGAAACAGCTACCGAATACCGACACATGATCATGTGTTTCAATACGAATACGAATGCTTGGATTGCCAAGTGAGTTTCGAAGCTCTCGAACCTTTTTCCTCTTGAATGATATCCGAAACGTTTTGGAGCATACGGATTCGGGTTTGGATGGAGATTAAATTATTATTGATTGATTATTGAATTTTGGCGTCCCTATTTCAATTTCAGTTACGTATACAAGCGATTGAAGTTCCTGAACAAGAAGTATATAAGTCATATGGGGGCAATGACGTTCCTCGCTCTTTGGCATGGTCTGCATTTTGCCTATTATGTGACGTTTTTCAACGAATACATTATCATCAGCCGAGAACGCGATGTGAGTGGACGTTCCAGTCATTGATTTTCGGGTTATTCTCTGCGTCTTCAGAAATTTTATCTGGATTTTTAAATCGCTGTGTTAATTTGAGTGTCCTGAAAACTTTTTTCGTTACTTGTTTGTTAACCTTGTGATTATAATTAGCTCAGAAGAAAAATTTTCCTGAAAATATTCAATTTTATAACTTTTTAAGACTTCTCAGAGAGTCTTTATGTGTTGTTACTTGTGAGTGGAGCTTCATTGAATTGCGATCCTTTCCTCACAAATCGGAAATTTATACTTCTATAGCCCAGTCTGATATTCAGCCGAATTTTTTGTATTGAGATTAACATTTTTCATCCTTTTAAGAATGGAAATAAATTCGTCCGATACCGGTATTGTATCGTAAAATTATATTCGTAGTCCTTCAAGGATAGTTGCGCAAAGGGTGCAGTATTACGTTTGCGTTGAAGAGTGATAATTTTTTGACGGTTGTACCGTAATAATTCGACAGCCTCGTTCATTATTTTGTCAGTGAAAGTAGTTTCATTCTTATGGGTCGACTTCGTCTGCAGGTCGTGATACAATTTTACTTTTCAACTCCAGCTAGTACCTGTTCTTATCAACCAAGATCGGAGCGCTTCCCATTCTAACCTTCATAATGAAAGAATTTTTTTTTTCATTCATAGTTTTACAAACTGTTGGATCGAAGTCCCGTGTACAAGTACTGGTTCTCCAAGAAGTGGTTCCGCTACACGATGAAACCGCTGAAAGTTCTATGGCTGTGGTTTGGCCTTTCCTACGCAGTGGTTCCTTTTCTCTTGTTGTCGACGGAAAAATGGTGGCGAGTTTACACGTCGCTTTACTTCCACATCCACGTGGTGTTCTTGTCGTATCCGTTCTTGAAGCCGAGCTTGAAGAAATGGCTCCGAGTTCCAGACGAGGAGGATTTCAAAAAAAAAGATTAATTAACGAGGTTGATCATTTGCTGGCTAGTTTTTTTTTTTTTCTTTCCTGGCCAGTCAGAACAGAAACCATGTTGAATCAAATGGTTTCCGTTCCCCGCTGAGATGTCGGTCGAATCCGCGATTTTTTGCCTTTTTTCCAATTTTCTATTCGTCCATTGTGTCTTCACTCATTCCGCTTGAACAAGTTTGATGAATGTTTCGGAAACACTGATGAACAATTTGTTCTACTCTTTCTCGTGCTCGATTCATGATATTCGCTGGTCAATCTGTTTCTTTGCTGAGCGTGAAAAGCACAGTACGCGTGAGTCAGGGTTGGAAATTCCGTGTTTTTCCTTCAAGGAATTCGCCTTATCTGATGGTGGTCCCTTTTATCCAAGAAAAAAATCGAGAGTATCACGGATAAACAGGGAATGCTAAAGGTTTGAAGCGATCTTAAAAGAATTTCACGTCGTAACTAGTGAATCTTCTTTGTTCTGTGATATCAAGTGTAAGTGCTTGAATTTGTAGACACCCCGGTCTTGAATCACTAATTAGATTCCATCATTTTTCTCGACCAACATGTAACGCCATATTTATTTTTATCAGGGAAAGTGCGATTATTTAGACATCGAAGAAAGCGATTGCCAAGAAAAGTCATGGTTAGCCAAATTATGTATTTGAAAGAAACTATTCTTATGTGATAGAGCGTGGATTTTGAAGAATCATGAGGCTTTTTGTGGATACAGCTGTTTGAACTAATCTCATTGCTTTTGTTAGTGGAAAGTTTTTGAAATTGTTCGAAAGATCTTTTTTGACTTATCGATGCTTCTTATGCGCATCTGTGTTTTTGATGACCTACTCACACTGAGTTTGTTGGGGTTTCAAGGTGCTGAATTACGGGTAACAAAGCGACTATATTGCCTGTTATGTATTATCCGTGCAAAATGTGGTTCAAGACCTGCGAAGATGGGAACATTTCGGCTATTAAAGTTCAAGGGTATGACAAGTGTTTCGAAGCAAGATTGGATGCAGTGAAAAAAGGACAATTTCTGAATACAGGAAATTTTCGTCGCTTGGGAAATGAAATGTGACTACTAGGAGTTCTGGCTGTTGATTATGGGAGAAAGTTTGTGGCATCCTCTGAACGATTTTCGTAAATCGGGATGAGAGAAACGATGGGGAGAAATATTTTGTATTTATAAAAATAATTTCCGTCTCTCTTTTGGCGGTTTTTATTTGCCTTAGAAAGATCAAAAGTTCTATCTTTCCATTTCCAGGCGCCGAAAATTTCTTGGGATGATTCCAGAAGTTGTCTCTTTCTTGCACAGTTGAATCTTCCCGTGACGTAAATTCCAGAATGCAGTACAAAACTGCGTGTGTCTCGAGGAATATTTTAATTTTTGCGCGTGAATCGTGCATTGTATATTATCGATGAGCTTTGTGTTACTTGTACATTTTCAAGATGTTCTTGGCGAGAACGGTGTTGCGGAACGGCCTTAGTGCGTTGGGTAGATTTACGTGTGTTAGGGCTGTTTCTCAACTGGTGTCCGCCAAGTTGGACAGATGCCTGATTACCCGATGGAAAGACGGAGTTACGAGACGCTTCCCTTTCGTCTTTCTCAGGGATAATTGTTTGGTAAGTTTATCATACTGAGATTTATATATTGTAAGTAATAATCTATTTATTTTTTTCCTAGTGCAACTCCTGTTTTGATCGTTCTGCCCTTTCGAGAACGGTCGACTTGTCGAAGATGGATCTCGCTGGTTTTCCAATAAACCTCGAGGTTAGTTCCGTGACTTTGTTTCTTTTGCGTTTATATCATCAAGCTTTGGAAGATTGCAGTTGGATGACAAAGAAAATGTTGTCCTGATTTGGAATGATGGACACGTTTCCGCGTATCCGCTAGACTGGCTCATGGAGAGATCATTTGAGGTCTCGGACGTTTCCGCGAGATCTCAGATGGAGAGGAAACCACGTCTGGTTTGGGGCTCGTACTTCGGGAAAAATTTGCCGACTGCTGATTATCAGAAGATGTTCAGAGATCCTCAGGTCGGTGATTCCGAATAGATTTTTGGTGGATAATAACGAATACAGTAGTTCCTGGATAATTCCTGTTCGGAAATGATGATAGAATGGTCATTACTCCTCTTGCTTGAAGACAGGAAGTATGTTTCCTTCGTAATTTACGTGGGCTTCTTTCTTGTTGTAGCCGATACATAATTAATTGATATACCCGAGAAAATCAGATGCACTAAGGTTTTATTTATTTTTTGTTTGCCGTGCAATTTGGATCTTCCACTGAGCTCGAATAATTTCTTTAATTTTTTGTTCTGTAGCAGCAGTAATTCTTTTTTCTCTGTCCACAAATGGTTCGCTTTTTTTGCCTGGATTGATACCATTGAATTGGTAAATTTCAAATACTGTACTGTACCTCTACAAATTTATATTCTCGTTCACTGCCTCTATAAGGGTTGAGGGACGTGTGTGGAGTAAAAGTGCATGATTACTTATTGACCTAGATTCCGTCACTGATACTTTCTTGTTACTGTACATACAGGAATAATATGCCCGTATTTACTTGAGAACGACGCGTAACTTTTCATCTCAAATTTGAGAGTAAAAAAGGAGGGTACATGCTGTAGGTGGGTGTATAATTTTCAACTTTTAAAAAAGTTTCGTTGCGCATTGATACTTGATTCTATTTTTGGACCAACTTTAACTAAAAAAATTTATGGAAATGATTTAAAATCAATTGCATTTAGTTTCGATTCATCTTTCGAATTTAAATTGTCTTGATTTTGAAATTTTTCAGTGACTTGAAATGGGATGCGCTTCTCATGTAGGAATAGGATTTCACCAAAGTTTTCGGCGAAAAAAAAAATCCCGATTACGTCGTGTTCTGGGAGTAAATACCGTATTTCGTCTCTTGAAGGCGTTGCTTGATTTCCTGGAAGATCTTGAAGTTTATGGATTAGTCAAGGTGGAAAACGTGCCCTTGGAAAAAGGAAGATTAAAAGAGTTGGTCAATCACATCGGTTTTCCGAGACGGACGCATTATGGGTTAGTCAACATTGTATTTGACATCCGAATTGCCATTCAAACAAAGCCGTTTCTGAAGAGTCGAGTTTGATGTAGAAACCAAGGACGATCCGAACAACGTTGCTTACACTTCGGGTCCTCTTCAACTCCACCTCGATTTACCGTACTACAAGGTGAGTTCATTTAAAAAATAGTTCTTGATGTTTCTCTCACGCATTGACAGCCGTCTGGAAATTTTATGTTCCTTTGCGGCACTCGTCTGATGGCAGTACAAACCCGGGGTGAGATGCGGAACTCTTTTTTCTTCAAAATGACTATTCATACAATACAGTATTTGCCTCTTTTGTAAAAGGTGGAGTTTTTGCATTGCATAGTTCAAACAGGCGATGGTCAAGGAGGCGAAACATTGTTGGCTGACGGCCTCTATGCTGCTCAGCAATTGAAAAAAATAGATTTGGGGGCTTTTGGGGTTCTGGCGTCCATTCCTGTGGATTGGATCGACAGAGGAAGAGAACCCGGAGCTCCATTCGGATTTTTTAAGCGGCTTCAAATACCGGTGCTTGTGTAAGTGTACATTTTCGTGTTAATCTATGTGTCCGTGACTTGGGTTGATTCGGTGATCATTCAGGAAACGATTGACTTTTGAACTTCTTGTAGGACGTTTCTTCATTTGAAAATTACCAGTCTTATTTTCTCAAAATTGATCTGAGCTTATAATAAAGGTGGTAGCTCGAAATTCGACCCTAATCCGTTGTCGAACTAGGTTCGAATTGCGAGACACTTTGTAAAATCGAGAAATATCAGAACAAGTTTGTGAAAAAAGTCGCTGAAGCGGGTTGAATTGCAAGTCAACTTATCTGCCAATTCGACCGTAGAATTGCAGGACGGTCGAATTGCGAGGTACCACCTGTATTATTAGCTGGTTCGATGGGCGTTGGATGGAAGAGATCAAGAATTCCTCAAATATTAAATCCTCAAAATCATCAGTTTGAAGGCCAGTGCTGTATTGTTCAATGACTTTTTAAAAACTGACGCATATTGGTCATGGTAAAGTATGTAGTGGAAGATCGGGGCGATCATGAGAAATACGAATAAAAAAATTCAGGGAAAGGTCATTCATGAATTGATTGGATGGACTAAGGAGGAATACAGTACTTTACCGTACAGTTACCGGTATATCTTTTGAAAGGGACTTACATTCCAATCGTCGTCTGGAAAGAGTTCTGGAATCTTCCTGGATCTTGTTTTCAGAGTAACATGCGACATTACCAACCAAAACGTTGCTCTGAAAGTTTGATTTTTTAAATTTTTACATTGTTTTTTTTGGCTCGGAAGGAAATCAGCTACTGTCCTGGGGTTTTGCCCGTTTTATTCCGTCTGGTTTTGTTTCCTGTCTGCGACTTTTCCTCTTCCTATTTTATATAATACATACTCCTTCCAAATCTACCCATTAATTTTGACCTACCACTGCTTTGTAACACAATTATTCTTTATTCTAAAACGAAAATTATGTAACTTAATCGCAGAAAAACCTTAGCATAAAACCGAAAATCGTACCGTAATTTTGATGGACTGAAACTAAATTTGTTCACGCAACACCTTAATTAAACGCATTATAAACTTAACGTGAATCTGAATGACCCCGTCTCATTTCTACCTAATGCAACCTGAACAGAATCAATTTTTCACGTAGAAAATCTAAAATATACTGACACGAAAAGCTTTACGAAGCAAGAACCCATTTTACTGCGATTAATTATGGATGATCGCAGTTTTTACATGGAGTCTGTCGTGTACAGTATTGTTACATCTGATTATTACGTTTTAGGATAGCCAACTACTGTAAGAGCACCAGCAGAGCTTCTAATCCTCGATTTTTTTTAATGATTCCAGGTTAGATTACAAAGGTGACGTGGAGCGGATAAACTTTAGCCAACCGCAGAGGGACTCGAGATTCTCGATCCCGGATGTCGCGCTTGTGGAACGTTGGTACGCGGCATACAAACTTTTTGGCGATATTTTGCGCAGCGATGACGTGGTGGTTCATTACAAAATGAAACCAGGTAAGTGAGGTTTTTTAAGAAATTGGCTGGAACTAATGTTGAGCTCACGAAGTTTTTTTTTTTCTGTGAAGGAGAAATCATAGCGTTTGACAACTTGAGGGTGTTGCACGGTCGGACGAGTTACGATCCGAGTGTGAAGCGGTATTTGCAGGGAATGTACATGGACTGGGACGAGATACATTCCAGGTGTCTCGTGCTGAGAGAAGAGTTGAAAAAGAAGTGATGCGTGGTGTGGTGGCCGCTGAAGCTGAGCTTTCAGTCGCGATTTGCGGAGAACAAATGGTTATATTTTTCCTTTACGTGGAGCACAGTAAACTTACTGTTCCTGATATCCGTCTTCTCATTTTATTCTCTGAATATGCACGTGCCACTTCGAAAAGAGCCAGTTTTTCTTTTTTCATTTCAGGCTTCTTTTTGGCATCCTGGAGATTTATTCTGTGCCTCAAGAGAGCTTGCAAATTTTAAACAATTTTGATTTATGTACAACGGAAAAATTGAAGCCCTGCACGCATGCAACATAGTGATTACAGTTTTGGCCGAAGATGTACATGTAGTTATTTCCCAGAGTTTTTAAACAATTGCCAAATTAAAAAAATTTGATTTTACTCGAATATGGACGCCACACTTCTCGTTCTAAATCTGACTGCTATGCTTAAGTGGCAAATGGAGGATTGAAGCTGTTAAACGTAAAATATCTGAGTAAAAAGCCTCACACTACCTCTACACAGTTTTCTTGCGCCTTCCTAGAAACAAGGGTGAAAATGTTCCACGATGAAAGGTGCAAGATTCGCTGTTGTGGATTTATGCAGCAGCGTCCGCGTCCCTTCTGTCCATGTGGACACTGTAAACCCCTCCCACCCCCATATGGAGAAGAAACCTGCGTGATTCACTAGGTGTCCACTGTATCCCTGAGCCCGAACAGATACGGTTTGATTTTGTCACTGTTGCTGAAATCACACCAGGTAACCACGTGTAGGTGTTCAAGTATTAGTGATCGCATTTTAAGCTGTTTGATTAATGAATGCACCGTTTTCATGGAGGAGCCATTTTTACCCAAGTCTCTTGAATTTTACCGATGGGTGCCCGTGAGCACTCTGAAGCTCGGAAATGGGAAGGCTCTCCATCACAGCGTCATTTTCCTGTCGTGAGTGTTGCTTTATTTGTGCTAAGTTAATGAAATTACAAGCGAAAAATTCTGATGCTTTGGTTGCTTTCTTATCACATTTCCATGAGATAAACATCACCTTCATGCTTTCATTTGATTCGTAGGGATACTGCTTACCTAAAATGGGGAACTGAAGGTAAAAGAGTGTTTGTCAAAACTTCTTCGAGTGATGTAAGAACGAAGAAAAGTGTTCCTGTTGATCTCGAAGCCTTATGGCGGGCTTACTGGAATGGGCAAGGAGAGACGGTTGTTTGGACTTCCTGGTTTCGTAAATACCACAGTTACATCAAAAAAGATTTTATCGATGAACTTGTGGAAAAATATGGCATAGACACGTCGTTTTTGAGCGAAGGCAGTGATAACGATTACGAAGAATCGAAGGAGTGGGGAGACGAAGAATGGGCTGCTGAATGGGAGCGGCATGCCAAACAAGTTCGCGCTGAGGAATTCATGACGTTTTCCAGCATCCCGGATGAGTGAGTGCAATTTCGATCTTTCGTGTTTTATCAACCTTTGATTCATCTATTTCGCCTTAGGAGAGGAAGCCGACAACTGTGTGGGGTAGATTCGTATGAGTGGTGGAATTTTAAGACGCATCATCGCGAGATTCAGTACATTACTGTATTGTGATAATTGGTAAAATACTTCTGTGATGCTACGAACTGATAAGAATTTTAGAAAAGGTTGAAGTATCGGTGTCCGAGGATATTTTTATTTTTCGGTAAGAGGAAGGAAATGCATGACGAGGCTAATGAATGCTTTTTCCCAGCGTTATCTCACCTGATCTCTCTTTTTCGCATGATTTCCTTTTTCGACAGATCTTTCGTGAGCATTAGCTGTAAAACGAAGAAAAATTCGGATTATAATCGTATCCTGAGGGAGTGCAGGTTAGCACTTCACTTCAGCCGTGGTGATTTGAAGCTTCTAAATATTGGTGTTCTCTTCCAGAAAAATTCTCAAGCAGGATGAGGAGAACACTCTCAGTCAAGCGCTTGAGAATGTTTTAAGGGATGAAGAAGCAGGATCCGAAGTTGAGGAAGTAGTATCCGAAGTTGAGGACGATGTGGAGAATTTTTCGTTTGCAAACGTAAGCGAAGAAAATCAAGATTGGGGGACGCTTGCAAGCTCGAATCGAAAGAACTTACGAAAGACGTAAGTACCTTTTGCCAAACCTTTTTTCATTTGTCGAAGGCGAGGGTTTTTCCATTTCCGCGGAGCTTTCCCGTTTCAAACTGCTTTTAGCAGTATCAGATCTAGTTCTTCAAATACAGTCAATTTTATTTGTCATCAAATACACACCGAAGAAGACGTGGGTGGAAAGGGAAGAACTCTCGCACATTTTATAAAAATTATTTGCGTTCTGTGCTTGTAATCCGATCTTATCTTCCCAATGATCTTTCCGTTGCATTGTTTTAGAATTTTGTCTTCGAAAACTGTGGAGAAGAAATTAGCTTTCTTGGCGTTGCGCAGTCGCGATGTGGTGTTGACAGAACTTGGTGGAAAGTTGGAACTCTTAACGAAGCCTTACGACAACGTCTGGCCACTTTTGGCGGCGAACAGTGCAGAAGTGAGTGACCATCTCGAGTGCAGCTCTTTATTTTTAGTAAAGTATCTTCATCGTATGAAATATGCTCGTCATAAAACTACATTGTTTAGTTGTGTAAGCTATGAGCTCTCTACCTTGGTAACGATTTTTAAACCCAATTGGATTTAAATATTAATTTTTAAAATTCACTCATAAACCTAGAAGAAATATTGCCCGCGACTATTCTCTTCGTGCATCTAAACGTTACGCGAGACTAAAGGTATTTCAACGGAAACTAAATTATTAGCCCTGTTGGCAGTAAAATATTGAATAATTCTTAAAAAACGGATATGTTCTTCTTGATGCATTTTGCTAGGAAATTTCTCGTTTTATCTAATGTCAGAATCTTATTTGCTTATTCAGCATGCCTCCTTGAAAAGTTGTATCACGAAAAATTGCAGATGAAGCCCGTGCCTGAAAGTAGTTCGCAGAAGAGAGGGGCGAAGAAGAAATTCAAAAAGAAGAAGGAAAAACCCTTGTTTAAGAAGGTCCTCAATGAGCATGGTGAATTGGAAATGTACATCATGAAGCAGTTAACTCCGGTTCCGATTCCTCCGCATTTGATGGAGTTTCCCGAGTTGGAACGCTACTGGGCTCAGCGCTATCGTTTATTTTCTCTGTTTGACCAAGGCGTTCAACTCGATCATGGTTGGTGTGGTTTCCATTTTCAGGGCATGTGACGCATATTTTATTTAACCGTCATACTTCTCGCTGATATTTGATGATTCTTACTTCGAAATTCATTAGAATCGTGGTTCTCCGTCACCCCGGAAAAAATTGCCGAACATCTTGCCGAAAGATGCCGAAGCGATGTGATTTTGGATGGCTTTTGTGGCGTAGGTGGGAATTCCATACAGTTCGCGAAGACTTGTCATCGAGGTAAATTCATTTCACTTATCCCGGGATTTCCTCTCAGTAGCCAGTCCTCTTTGTAAGCAATGATTATGAACTCATCTCTTGAAATAAAATCTGTTTCAAGTCTTGAATCTTGGCGATCATTCTGTAGATTTTTTCCCGACCATACTGTACAGTATTGTACTTCCATTTTTCAACAGAAAAGCAGTTTACTGTCAGGTTTTGTTGAAGAAGGTTGTCTGAAACTTTAAAGGAATTTAGGCGGCGTTTTGAGGAAAAGTTATTGGGTGACCTTTCTTTCCCACCAATTCCACCTTAGTACTGTACTGATAAGTTTTCTCTTTACTGATGGGTAAATTTGTGTTCTTCTCACATCTTACTTGATCGAGCAAAAGCTTCAAATATATATGTGCTGTGGGATTTTTTATTCCCTGATACACGTGGACTCTCTCTATAACAATCTTGTCTAAAATAATTCTCTCTGTATAAATAATTTTTTTGTCCCAAAACGTGGAATGTTCATGTTATAGGGGTTCTCTACAACGGAATTCTTTTTTGAGTTTTTTCAAAGATTTTTTTTTCACTTGTGATTTGTTGTAGAAAGAGTCCATCTGTAGCATTATTAAGAATTCGAGTTAATTCACAAAACTCCCAGCAATTTTAAGCTAATAATTTTTTATTTGTGTCTTCACGTTTTCTGCAAATTTCTGAATTTGGCCTGTATGTAGGTTGCAAATCTTGTACCACTTCTTATCATCATGTCTAGTTTAACTGCTCCGTACACATGCATCATGACAACGCATTTACTGGATTATCTATTCAACTGAAGTGTTTGGGTGACTCGAAAAAAATTATGTTCAACAAAAGCGGAACAGGTTTTGAACGATTTGCATCCCATTAACTATGTTACTTGATTTATTTTATTTTTTTCAGTCATTGCTATCGACATTGACGCGGATAAAATCGCGATGGCCAAACATAACGCCGGCGTGTACGGCGTGGCTGACAGGATCGAATTCATTGTCGGCGACTTTTTCGACATCGTATCTTCGGAAAGCCTGAAAGGAATCGTGGACGTGGTTTTTCTTTCGCCTCCTTGGGGAGGCCCGGAATACTTGCAATCCAAGACCTACGACGTTGACACTGGTGTTCCTGTTGGAGGTCGACGGTGTTTCGACGCTGCGAGAACTTTGACGGATGACGTTTGCTACTATTTACCGAGAAATTCGGACGTTTCCCAGGTCTGAAATTTTGATGTGATGCTGTTTTAAATCATGGGGGTTGTTTGATGATAACGCCGTCTCGAACGCAGTCATTTTTGTCGTGTTCCCTGTGTAAATTGATCATGAGTTATAAAAAAGTATTAGATGTCGGGCAGATTTTTTCTTGGGGAACAGGTATCAAGGGTATTAAGTAGCAAACGTTGACTCTCATACTCAGCAAACTAAGTTCCAACAAAATGAGTAAAAGTTGGGCGGATCACTGCAAATGGAGCATGTGGAGGTTAAGTACGAATTCACAGATAACTTCTGGAGTAGTTTGTAAGACGCGTTACGGTCTGAAGACAGGCTTGAGACTATGTTCTGCAGAGTTGATTGAGCGGATGGTATTTCAAGAAGGTTTCAAGTGAACAATCGCCCTTTTAAAGAAAACCATTCGAAGAACAAGTTTCTATGCTACTTTTCCCGTCTCAGCTTCTATTTTTGATCGTAACAATTCCTGCTGTTTTAAATGAGTATTTTTATTGAAAACATTTTTTACGCGAGGCGGTCATCATCATTCTGGGATATCACTATGCGATATGCTGGTAATGATACATTCGGAGACCAGCTGTAATGCTTATGCTAACGAACATTTTGAAACCAATATTGTATATTGGAAAGAATCAATATTCTCGACATCTTGGGTTTGTATTCATTACCTACCAGAAGATTGGCGCTTAGTGACGTCTTTTATTCTGTAGTTTGATTGATTTCCCTTATTTTTTCAGCTTGTAAGCTGGGGTTCGTCCGGAGAAATAGTGGAAGTGGAACAGAACTTTTTGAATAAAAAGTTGAAGACAATAACGGCGTATTATGGCTCGCTTGCGAACTTCGCTGAGTTTGGCGTGGATGCTGGTGAAATACCCGGATAATATTTGTATGTCTGGAATCATTTTAAGCGTGATTTTACGTTTCGTGGTTGGGCTCGGGAACTACGGAATTTTGATCAATAATGGCTTGCCTAATCTTTTAATTTTGCAAACGTTCGTGGGTTATTCTGAGAAGTCGGCAGAGATCTGGGTTCTTGTTTTTCCACGCGTTTCTACTTTGTGCTAGTGCGTTTGAAATACTGGAGTTTTGCACGCTTTTTTTGATCGAGCTTTCATATTCGTTGATCTTAACCTTGCATTTTCCAAAGTTGGGATTATTTCAGAGTGATCGAGCACTTCGCAACAATCGTTTCTTCTTCAAAACCTTCGGGTTCCATGTGTGTTATATATATATTTTTTTTTTGCAATTACTTATGAAAATTAAACCTCATGAACAATTTGCTAGGGCTTTTGCGTTTAGAGTTTTTTGAGGTACTGTGTTGACGATTTTTCGTGGTTCAACAATCAGAAGAGTCCCATTTGATTTTTCGTTCGCTGCAGTCGGTTACGTTTGGTGAGCGGCCCTCATCTTTTCTGAGCAATCAGGCGGAGGAGGAATTAAGTGGATACTGATACAGTTGAGCTAATCGTGAGCCATTTGAAGGTCAGTCCACGGCAAAATTCGTATTAAATTTATTCATAGGTCTTCTCAGTCTCAATTTTTATTATTTAGACTTTTTTTCGATTGTATTCCCATCTGCTGCCACAATTAGTGGCAAAATTAAGATCATTCAAAGGAATGAGAACAATTCAAATTGTATTAAAATAACCTCATATGCGTCGAGCAAGTACTGTTTGGATTTATAATTTCATTCCTTCTTGATTGAAACAAGTCCCGGTTTTTATCTGTTTTTGCGGACAGATAATCGCGATTTATGTTCCGGTATCCCTGAAAACTTGCTCGATTTTTTTCCATTATAAGTGAATAAATCCGAAAGAAGCCTATGTGGTCGTGGGTATTTTTTCTTGCCCCGCAGAGTTCCTCCTTTCTTTGAAAAGCAAGTTGAGGCGGTTTTTAATGTTCCATTGGTTTGGTTATTGTTTTTTTTTTTTTATTTAAAAAGCTGTTTTTCCCATGTTGCAGGTCACACGCCCGGTAAAAGCTTCTTATTTGCTGAGAGGCAAAAGTGACTCGCGCTCACGAAAAAAATGTTGCTCGGATCCGGTGATAGTGTCGCGGTCAATATGTAGTTCAGCTTTCTACGCGTTCTTCCAAACGGAGGCTTCGCGATGATCTTGACAACCCGCCAACGGTTTGTCCTGGGCATCGTGGTCTTGCTGGTTGTTGATGTGATCTGGGTAGCTTCTTCCGAAGCCACTGAGGTTTGTCCGAGTTGTTGTACTAAGTCCAAATTGGCCAAATTTCGTTCAGTACGCGAAATGTGTTCACTGTCGGGCATTTATTGGTCGAAATACTGCAATTTAAACGCATCCTTTTCGGAATTATGTTACAGCAGTATATTCATGTGAAATCTGCGCAAAAACAGTTGAATTATCCACGGAATATTTACTTGCACCACATGCACGTTTTTTTTTTCAGATTGAGGTTGGTCATAAGCCGGTATTGTTGTCCTTATTATTGCAATCTAAGGTTTCACACACAAGGGTTACTAACTACTGGCTACAAAGGACTGAGTCACTTGTGTGGCTTCAAGTACTTTTATTACTCTTCTGAACACACACATAAGGCCACAAATACAATATCCAAACATACAATACAAGACTAGACAAATACAAGTATTTATGTTTCCAGGACTATTGGGAATCCAAGAACATTCCAAGTGCAAACTCCAGGTTAACCAGCTAGTATTACTTGGAATGATTCTTTAATGTTACTTTACCCAGTCTACACAAGTCAAGGTTTAGAACACAAATTCCCCGATGCAGGAAAAGGATCCTGTTTAAATACATTCAGAACACAGATACAGGTGTGAGCAGGGGGAACACAATCAACATGTCCAGACTTGCATGACCCCATCATTGTGGGTCAATCTAACCTCTATGAGGGAGGATCATTAGTCACAGAATAGAAGAGGAAATATCCATTACTGTTCCATCAAGTAAAAGAGGGTCATGAGGAAATCTGCACTCCGTGCCAGAACTGTCACTCAAAGGAAAGAGTGAGGAACATGCCAAATAGACTTTGCAACCAAGCAATAATTACAGGTTACTGAATTACAAGATATTTGGCTGAAACATTTCTCTGAGAAGAAAGACACCTGCAAGGATTTTCTCCTTCTAGGAAAAATGCCTGTATTCTATAAAGAGGGAAAAAATGAGCAGAACCCAATAGCTAATGGAAGACGGTTGATCTTGCTATTGATTTGAGAGAGTGCACGAAGTGTGCTCTCTTTTGAGTAAGGCTAAACTTGGGTTTACCCTTTGTAGGAAAACAGTATAATCTTTTTTAACATTAGGCGCGTGTCATACAAGATTATAATGACATCATTTTTCAACCATGTAAAATTACTTGAATTCAGGTTCAATTCAAGTTAAAAATAAAATTTTAATTTGCTTCATCTTTGAAATGCAATTGAACCCCTTCAACTCCAAAGCTTTTAATAGTCACAAGCAATTTCCTTGACCTCCCTAAATCGAATTTCTTTGTTGGTCCGTCCAGATTTGACTTACAAAAGTGGATTTCAAATTTTCAGTCATTAAAAATTGGGGGCGCTTGATACTTGAGTATGTAGTTTAATACAGTAATATATCTTGGACCTCTGGGATTGAAGTGTGTTTTAGTGGACTAAAAATTGTATTCCACAATCGAGAAACTTTGCTTTTTATTATGTCCGTCAGAATGCAGTATTTTCTTTACCGTACATTGGTTAGTGAGTGACATCCGTTTTTGTGTTTTTCACAGTATTTATTCAAAGGCAAGTCGCAGTTCAAGAAGCCGTACTTCACGACTTACGTGAAGACGTCTTTGTTTACGATCTACCTGCTGTTTATTGGAGCATGTCGTGGGTTCAGTTGTGGACGCAGGGAAAATCGCGTTCCTGCTCCGCCAAATTACCGTGCGATTGATGAATCGTCGGGTGATCAGCTGTCGAGCGAAAACGAGGCCAATCAGCCGTCATTGGTATGATGAATTTTATGATCTTTGAAGCAAATGATGTCCTGTAAGCGTATTTGTTATTTTGGGTTCGCCGTGTGGAACCGATTATATTTTCAGTAATTCTTCAATTCACTTCTTTTAGATTTCCCTCATATTTTTGACTAAGCATCAAGCGTACGTCGATGGATGCCCTACTGAGCATCACTTGACTGATTCTCTCTCTGGATTTTCTAGTGCTACATTTTTGGCCTGTATATGAGCAAGGATTTCTTTGATCTCTCCAAATAACATAATTTCAATCGCTAAGCTTCCTCGAATTTCCGGATAGTGTAACTGGGCGATAAGGGGAAAATCAACGAGTTCAGGCTATTATTTAAAAATAAGCAAAACCTCCGTTTTATGGAGAATTTAGAATTATCTTTCTTCTATTGTGAATTTGGTACGCAGATTTTCTGCTGTTCAGAATTCGAGGCTAGAGCGAACTTCCGTTAATGATTTCAAGAATAGACTTAAGGATAATGATTCGTCTAGATTTCCTTATTGTATAAATTAATGCATGTATTGGGTTTTATTCTTTTTTTTAGACTGAATCAGCGTGGGTGCCGACCAGGTATCATGACGGAACAAGTGACAGAGGATCCGGCATTGACAGCGATTCCGATGCTTGGGGTAAAAACTCGGAAGCAAGGAAAAACGTTCGATTTTCTCGGGTCAGCGAAGTCAGGCAACTCTGTGGTACGCTTTTTGAATCCGAGTGAATTCCTGGAACGAATTATCCCTATCCACAGCATTGTTCTACTTTTCGCATCCAAGTGTCAATATTTCAGGAAGCAATAGTGCATAGTTACGAAATACGTGTTGGAGGTAAATGGTATACATCCAATTGATTTTCGCCGAACTCCGGCATCTTCGAGCGGTTATTTTCAGATTCGTAGTGAGTGAATCACACGATGGGATTTTCCCTAGAAAAGTGAATAATATTCTTTTTCATTTCCGTCCTTTTCAGATTAATAGTGAATGAATCACAGAATATGGTTTACCCTGAGGAAGTGCATAATTTTCGATTTCATTTTCCAAGTACTGTATTGCATTCAACTCTTGTCAAGATGACGAGACCTGAAAATTGTCCTCCTTTTCACCCTGTGCGTTATTTTTTGACGTAAATTTTCTGTTTTCAGAACTCCCCGACAATTTTCATACGCTTTGTTCTTTAAACTGCATTATTTAAACTGTTTATTCAGAATAACTTTGTGTGCATTTTTTAAATCCTTTCGTGAATTGCAGATGACAGGGACGAGTCAGCAAAGTTGGCGCGGTTATCATATGAAATGAGCGCTCGTTTGGAGGAGGCCAATCAGAGGGTCGTTGCGAAGCTGACGACCAAAGAAGTGTTCATCTTGGCCTTGAAGTTTTGTCTTCTGGTGAGAAGAAACTTCTTGTTCGTTGGGAGGATTTTCGTGAAGATCCTCGCTTGAATTTTTTTGTGATTGATTTTTTTTTTTTGCCCAGTGGTTTATAGGCCAGTATTCCTACCAGGCTGCGCTGGCAGAGACAGAGGCAGGCGTGGTGAACGTCTTATCCTCAAGCTCTGCTTTGTTCACCTTGCTGCTTGCTGCAGTTTTTCCTTCCTCGGACCTCGATGGGATTACTGTCACTAAAACTGTGCTGGTGTTTCTCAACATCATTGGCATTGTGAGTGTGTGAGACGGGAGTTTTTCAATAACTTTGCGACTTCTTATGAATGAACTTGATCGCATTGATCTTGTTTTTCCCATATTTTTCTAGGAGCTGCCCCGAGTTAGTTTTGACTCTTAGGACGCTAATCATTTAAATGCCTCCCTCAAGAAAAGTTAGCTCTCTCATAACTCAACCATTGACACCGATTTGATATTCATTTGTTTTCTTGGGCCATGTTTCAGATTAGGCAAATTGGCGTGAACTTCATCCCAAGTTCTCCACGACTTCAAAATGATTCTGATTTCCACATCAGCTGTTCATTGACTTCTCTTCTAATTTTGTGGGATAATCTTCGGACTTGCGCCTGATTCATGATTTCCATGTTCAAATCTTTTGTCAGATTTTAGAGACGGCATTATTCATGAGCTTTGCAATTTTTTTCTGTAACTACGAGAAATCAAGAAGTCATGCTGGGCTCGCAAAATTATTCAAGTGTCTCTAGTACAGTAATGTTCATTTTTTCTCTTCTTATCTCCGGTTCAACATTGAAATCTTGCATTATTTGAAAATGATTGGGGATTTAAAGATGTTGGCTACCTCTGATGGTTTTTCAACGAATTTAAAAAAATCGAACATCCCTGTGCATATGTTTTTTCTATCCTGCGGTTTCATTATTATTATTTTTTTTGAAGGCATTGGTGAGCTTATCGGACTTCGCTTTGGAGGACGGCAAGGTGGCAGTTGGCGTTCTTTGGGCGCTGGTCTCAGCGTTGTTCTATTCCATTTACCTGGTGACATTGAGAAAAGAAGCGCAGCACGAGGATGCGTTGAATATGCCTCTGTTTTTTGGTGAGTCAATAATTATTGAAGGTATTTTGACCAGAAAAAAAAAATCCGATTGTGGAATGTTATCCAGGCTTTGTTGGACTCATCAATGCTATCCTGTTGTGGCCTGGCTTAGCCGCCTTGCATTACCTGGAGATTGAGAAGCTAGAGATGCCATCCAAGGACCAGTGGGTTATTCTGTTGACGAACGGACTGATCGGAACTGTGTTGGCTGAGCTTCTTTGGCTCTGGTAATTTTGTTCTTCATTTAGTTTTTGCCGAATGATTGACATCCATTCCTGGAAATGTTGTGTAGATTTCGCCTAAATCGCTTACCTGATCAAATTTAGTTCGTACTAGGAGTATTTTTTCCTGAAATATGACTTATTTTTACGAGAGTCCTTTTAACTGTTTTCCGTTATCTGGAAATCGTGATTAACGTGACATTCGGCTAAAAAATTGACATTCATTCCTTCAATGTCGGGCAGATTTCGACGAATTCAATAACCTGTGCAAAGCTCAAGCTGATCAAATCGAAGTCGCACCTGCATTTTTTTTTTTCTTTTCAAATGGGGATTTATTTGTCGATGAATTCGCAAGTCTGTTTTTCTAATCTTCGTACAAATTATACCTATCCAAAAATTATTTCTTCCTCAGTACCGAAAATCTCGTTTTGATTCCCGTGCCATTTGAACGAAAAATGGAATTCAGGATATATGCTGTAGCTGCGATTGTTTGAGGTATTCGAAGCACGAAAAATCCAATGTTTCGATTCGAGCTCACGTTCTTGAATTTTTTGTTATTACAGTACTAGGTTTCGAATTTCAAAGCTTGTACAGTATATATTCTCTAAATTCGTTACGAGACTTCGTTGTGACTGAGGCCTCATTTTTCAGAAAGAACAAGTTGTAGTGTCCGTCATACTTGGCAGAACATGTTGAAATGTTTGTGAACTGGGTGAAAAGTATATTTATTATTTTAATCTGGAGCGAAATTCTCTCTTCATCGTGGTATAGTTAACATAAAGAAATATCCTGAGAAAAAGCTGTTGTTCGCTGACTTGAGTGACTTTCAAACAGTTCTGTGATTAGTGAAGGTAGTTAAGGATGACAAGCGACAGTAATTTTGTTTTTTTTTGGGGGGAAAAATGTTTGCGCGTCTCTGAAAATTGATGAAAATCAAAAATTTCCGGAGCTTGAGAAATGAGCATTTAAGCGAGAATCCTTTTTTTTTTAAACTCATCAGTCACTTGATGTACTGTATTCCTCTGTTTGAAATTTGGATTGATTCGTTATGTACAGTACAGTATTTTGCGAATTTTCTTCCAGGGGATGTTTCCTCACCTCATCCCTGACTGCGACTCTGGGCATGAGCTTGACTCTACCCCTCACTGTCCTGGCGGACAAATTGTACAGGAACGTGGACTACCCAACCATGTTCTTCTTCGGCGCTGGTCCCACCATGGGCTCATTCCTGGCTCTAGCCCTGGTGCAGCAACGCGGGTCGGACTGGGACCCAGTGCTGGCATTTCTCGCCTTCGTCGCGAGCATTCCGTCGAGGCTGTGTTGCGGAGCACTGGCTCTGTGCTCCTGGTGTTTGCGAGGTGGGAGACGAAGGAGAGCAGCTTGCGGGGACCGGTTGTTGGGGGAAGTGGGTGATGAGGACTTTGATGTTGATGATGAGAACGGACCTGGTGGGGAAGGCAGGCGGCGGTTCCGGAGGAGCCGGGGGCAGGAGGAGAAGGATGAGAAGAATGACGAGAGGTGCTTGTCGTGTTTTCTATTGTACTGTACTTCATTTCTCAGCCCTTGTTGTTGATCTCAGCCCTTAGCCTTTTTTTTTTTTTGATAAACCAGCAACTCATAAGCCGCCGCAAACCTCACGATCAAAGGTGGCGGCTTCTCGAGGTTCGACTGTACGTGCGTCTTAAATTTAAAACGTGGGCTAATCGTGAAATGAACATTTTCGCAAATTTTGGACAGCATTCCCTAAATAAGCCTTGCTCTTAAAAATACACACGTATCAATGCCGTACTACTGAAACTCATTTAGTTTAATACAGTACAGTCTGAAAACATCTTGCGAAATGTAATCTGCTATTAAGTATTGTGCAAGTATTGTTCTTCTTGATGCTCTTCATTGCCGTAGATTCAGAAATGAAATTTATAAAATATAATTCGTTATTAATTTTATCTGTCCACGTTGAAAACTTCGTCGAAATCGGAGGCATCTAATTTTGTCCCGGCAAGTTTAATTAATTAATTCGTGCTTCTTTCGGCTGAATTTTGAGAAAATCCGAGCATTTTTCAAGTTAGTATCTTGAATTAACAAAATCGCCTCAATTTCTGATATTGCGTATACAGTAACGTCAAATTCAGTGAAATTGTAACTCTTCCAGCCAAAATTCAGTTCAAGAGCGGTTTTAAACAGCTCTCGCGAGGGCATTTGACAGATAGATGAGAACATTTCTATCATGTCAGTTTGTGTATAGCTGAAAATTAAATTATTTTTTGTTTGAGTGAAAAAGTTATCTTTTTGTTGAGCTGCTCCTCTTGAGAGAAACTCATGGTGAAAATCGGTGTGACTGCAATTTTTTCATAGACGTGTAGGAATAGGCCACCTTGTTCAGAGATTGATGGACGATTGAGCGAATGATGAAGTGTACCGTACACTTGACGTGTTGCATAAGCGATCGTGTTGTTCGTAATTGCTGACATCACCGTTTACTCTCTTTTTGTTTCAGGTTACCTATTATCGATGCCACGGATGATGATGAGCCCCGTGATAGTGGAGTCGTTGCGTGATGAGCGCCATGTGTGCAAGTGGAGTCGTGATTTTGGATTATACTTTTTTAGTTGCGCTCGTCAATCCGCGTCGTGAAAAGTTGAATAATTTGGTTCGATCAAAAAATAGTTCGATTGGAAAGCAAGCGGGAATTAGTTGGGAAATACTCGTTTTTTTTTATCCGAACTGTGATTACGTTTTTTTTTTAGTACCCATTTGTGGAACAATCGTCGTCGGACCGACTGCGCCAGTATTTTATTGGAACGGTTCGGGTCTTCTTTCTTCCATGTTTCCCCGGTGTGACCCGACCCCTCTCTTTTTTTTTTTTTTGAAGTACAAAAGTTTTGTAACTAATTAAAATTAGAGAAGACTGATCCTAGCCCTGTATTTTTCGAAGTGGCAAAGCTACTGCATTCAACATTGCTCTGCATAATTGCTGCCAAGTTCGACATATTTTCAGATAACATAACGATGCCTGGTGATCCAAATCATTAGCCTGCAGATTTTGTTCTACCAGTAGCAGGGAATCTTAAGGGTATGTTCTATGGCCAAAAAAAATGGAAACAAACTCGAAAATGGCGAGAGATCATTTGGTAGGAAAAGAGATAGTCTGTAAACATGAAAACATCGTTCTTGGGGATAACTTGTGAACATAGAAGCGTAGAAGAGGATGAGTTGCTCTGGTGTTGTTCGATTAGAAATTATTCTCGGACTAGTCCATTTCATCTCCCATTCAAAATTTGTTGTTCAATGCTTGCTACGACGTGTGATTCAAAGAATGCAACTGAAGGTGTGACTCAAGCACTCAACTTTGTTTTATGATTTAGAAAAACGAGATTTGAAGGCGAAAATCTAACTTGGAAAAGTTCATACTGAATTGTTCTCGAGGGACTGTACAAAAATTTGACTTGTGGAGGTTTTTGACTTACGGAGGTTTGATTTAGGAAAGTCTGACTAAATCTCCGTTTCTCTTTCAGACATTTCTTTGTAAAATATTTCAATTATATTTCATCACAGTATATTTTTAAATATTTTAAATGCTGGTAATCGAATCCCGAAAAGGAATTCAAGAGAAGATTATTACTATTCTTCATTAACCTGTTGGTTCATCTGCTGAAAATATGTGTCAGCATTGGTGGGAATCATGTTGAAAAAATGTTGAATTTATGAGCTTATTTGCGTCCAAGAAGAAATTGAGTTCCTTTCATGATTTTCTTTGAACCTCCAGTTCTTATTTTGATGTCTTTTTTTGTATTAAATTTGTGGCTCGAATAGTATCAAAAAAGCAGCTTTTCATTCGGGAAGTTCAACTTTGATGAGCGCATTTTTTGATTGCTTGTCGGAAAGCTAATGGATTGGGGGGTTGGAAGCTTGTGGGAGGCTATGATGAAATACTCTATTGAATTTTTTTTTTCTTCGTTGATTCGCGCTGCTTTTCAGTTTCCATGATCAGTCAACTTATTTGATGTGTGTGAGATGGATCATGTATTCGCTTTGACTACGATGTTTGTCTACGGCTTTTATTTAGTCTTACGATTTTTGGATGCGAGTCCGTTGTGTCATCTACCAAGAGAAATGGGACTGTTAACAAATGGCAGCATAGTTTCTTATACGAACATTTTATGTTCTTTCATCTCTGAACAATTCTGAAGGAATTAATTAGCTAATTTATTCCTTCCCGAGAATTATTTCAGGGACATTCACTTCCCAATTCGCACGTCCTTCTTTTTTTTTTTTTTTGAAGATCTGGCTTTTTAGGTGGAAGAAAAGGGACTTGTATTTACGCGAATACAGTAGACTCTAGTTAAAACGAACTATTTCTCAAGTTGAATTTTTTTTAGCCTCAGTGTTCATTTTATTTTATGTACGATTTATGCATTTGTCGTGTAGTTTTTTTCCTAAGTTCCCGATTTCCCATGGCTTTGTTGTAGTGAGATTATTTTTGTATGAAATGCCAATAATTGTAATTGTTTTGAAACATTTTCACCTGAACACAAACAGGAAAATAAATGTATCCGTCTCACAATCTAAGTTATGATTATCATGCCATTTTCGATTTTCAGTTCGGATAGTCTTGGTATTAGTATTAGTGTTTTTGGTTGTTCTGATCGTACTTCATAAGTATCCTCCGTTGTAAAAATAGGATCAATCCATTATATTTCAACATATTTGATCATCCGACAAACTTGGCATTTTGTACGCAACTTTTGTGCGTTAGGCATTCCAAAACTTTATTTTAAATGAAACAAAATTAAGAAAAAACGACGTCGTTTTTCAAATCGGCACAGTCCTGAACCACATGGAAAGAAAAGGGGGTCTGCATGCGTGGTAGATGACACGATAGAGATCCTTGACTATTTTTTATTCCTTGCTCTAACGTACCGCATTATTGAACAGATATTTAAATCACGCCGTTTTTTATTTATTTCAGATGTCCCTGAAGTTGCGTCCGTGTTTAACTTTTCTGAAACATCGCGCGTTGTGGTTCCGGACCCCGCGGAGATCATGCAGCAACCTCGAGGACGATGAGAAGCGCGGCGGGTTCGCGAAGGCCTTCGAGAAATACACGGATCCGGAGTTTCTGGAGCCCAAGAAGCCGGCCCAGGCAACCCCGAAGCAGGATCTCAAGTTTGCGACTCTGTTGCGCAACAGTCGATTGATGCAGATTGGCGACCCCGAAGGTGCTGTGGTGACCGGAGAAATTTATCACGTTGTCGGCGATGACTTGTACGTGGAATTCGGGTGGAAGTTTCCGTGCGTCGTGCGGCGACCTGAGCGGAATGCAGAGTGAGACTGATCTACGTTTTTGTTTTGTTCTAGTGAATTTTTGTTGTTCAAGGTAGTGTTGTGGGAAGACAGATAGGTCTTCATTTGTAAAACTAAATTGCGTTGAGTTTGTATTTGAAATAGACGCGTCTTACAGATTCCACGCACTTTCTAAAAATGCTCGCGTATTCAAATGAGTAATGCTATTTGTGGTTGTTGCGTTTAGTGACTTGAAAACCTGATTTGCAAATTTAGAAATTAATTGAAGTCACGAAAATTAAGGTAGAGAATAGTACACAGATATTTGTGTATTCAATTATTTGGGTTCTGAGCATGGAGGATTCCATAAAATAATTTAGATGTTTATTTTCGACTTTCTATGAATTAATAAAATTAATTTTTAAAATTTAGAAGTAGTCTTTAGCGTGTAGAAAATTTGTACCCTAATCCGTTGCTGGAGTAGGGTCAAATTGCGAGGTACCATCTGTATTACTACTAAATTCAGGTAGTAGTACCTCACAATTTGACCCTAATTTCTCCAGTCAAATTGCTAGGTATAACTACCAACTAGGACCAAGTTTCAATTTAGTAGTAATACAGGTTGTTCCTCGCAAGTAGACCTTAGTCCAGCAGGTATTTAAAATTGGGAATATTTTTACTTTTATGTTATATTATATTTTTCTTTGCAGTGCCTACGTGAGAGGAGCCAGAGTGCGGTTGCGAATCAAAGACTTGGAACTGTCAACAAGGTTTCTGGGTTCACCACGAGATTTGACCTTACTGGAAGCGGACTGTATTCTTCTCGGTCTAATCTCCCCTCCGGAATCGCAGAAGGTGCCAGGAGGAGTGTAGTGATAAGAAGTGCTTGGAAAAAAAGCGAATGTATTTCTTGGCTTCGGAATGTATACCGAGATTGATGCGTGAACTTTCCCGTGACTATTTTAATGCTGATCTCTTAACGATGGCTGTCGTGGAGACAGTCGTGAAAGAAATCCCTGAGCATTTCTCCTCCTAAATTAGGCTGGCTTCCGACGTTTCGACTTTTCTTTCCAAGTTTTGCCTTCTTTGAGGAACTTGTGTTTGGCACCTAGAATGAAAAAAATTGTTTAAATGATATTTGTTTATTGTTTCCGTCTCTTTTTTCCAGTGAGCCAAACAAGTAGAGCCGAATGTTGGACCGTGCCAAATTGTGCCAGATTTGAGTCCACCATCCTCCTTCCTTCATCAAAATACTGGGCAATACTGGAGGTGTCCTAATGGACCCTATCATTTGCAATATATAAATTTCTTATTTCTGCTCTATAAATATAATATGATACAGAAATACAATAAGAAAATCCATTAGTGTTTTCCCGTGTGTGGGCAATACGGGAGAACACTAAAGAATGGTCGACTCAATGATCTGGCACAATTTGGCACACAAAAGCAGCCATGAAATAGCTGCGTCCAACATCCGGCACTACTTGTTTGGCTCACTGGTACCCACCCGCCTTACTCCTTGCTGAAAAAAAAAAGAAATTCAAATTTAACTTCATTGAATAAATTCAAAGCTTCACAATAAATTTCTTCGAATTTGAAAATAGCCTTAATCCGTATTTAAATAATGAGAAGTAATAATGAGCTGTTTAATATGCGAAGTCTGAGCGATTACGCGTTCAAGGCTCATGTCTGCCTTCGGAATGAAGAGAAATTACTGAAAAATAACAAGAGCGTACGTAGCAAACTAAGAACCACTTACTTTCTCTCGAGATAAAATATCCTGATGCTCACACATTTCTGACATTTCCAACAATTTCTGACTTGAAAAGAAAAAGAATCTTGTTGGATTTTTTCAATTTTTAATTGTTAGTGAACATGAATCGCTATAAATGCAAGCTCATCAACTAAATTAAGTGACCTTTAAAATCCACAGTTACGCGACAAATGTCACGGAATTCCTTCAGTTAACAGTTCAATTACAGAATCAAATGTATAATCGCTGGAAATAATCATGAATTTGTGCGAGTCATCATATGAACGAGACAAACAGGGGCTGGGGCCACAATTAACGGAGGGTACAGTACTGTACCTAACACAAGCTTGAATCAGCAACAAAAACAAAAAGCTTGAAGCGCAGCTAATGAAATATGTTGACTCGGGGAATTTTATGCCACGAGATAAACATCAACCTTGTCACTCTAGTACTGCAGTGGCCAACTTTTGCATTAGTCAATACCTCACCTGAGACATGACTATCGACTTGAAGAATGGAGTTGAGGTCAATATCACAGACTTCGCAGTGGAACGAACCACCGTCGCAACTTTTGATTCGTTCAATGAGTATGCCGGGCTCTGTGTTTGCGTCCGGCTCTGTGTACTTCTTCGACGTTTCCGCTGCTTGAACCTGAAAAACGTTTTAAAGGAATTAAAAAAATACTGTACTTTTGGTAATTTCGCGTTATCATGTCAAATAAAAATGGATTGAAATTTAATCAATCGCAATATTCACTACAGGTTGGACTGACTCTCTACAACCAAATTTAGGGGACACCAGAAAAAATCAAATCTTGATATTTATTTTTTCAAATCCTTATGGGACCCAAAATTAATTTTTTACACAGATAAAATCATTGTATGGAGAGTCTACATGTACAGTACTGAGTTACAGACACATTCCTTTCTTCCATCTATTTTTTAGAACTACTGTACAATGAACTTCTGGGGAAATTAAAATATATAATTGATGATCAAACATAAAAAAAAATTGTATACAGGTGTACACACACTGAAACAAAACTCAAATGATGAGAAAAAATTTAATGTAGATGAGAGAATTTTGTCGTAGAACACCCTATAACATGAGGAACCACACAAAATTTTGATTTACAGTATATACAGAAAATTGCTGCACACAATATCATTGTAGAAAGAGTCCACCTGTACTGTATATCACAAATAATGGAGTAATATAAGTACAGTGGGGTTTTACATGATCTGTGGAAAGTAAATGCTTATGAGCAACAAAGTTGGCACAGTACTTACAGTAGTCTGAATTTTTGGTTTTTAGGAGACAATTTGAATGTTTTTTTAATGAAAAATGAACTCTCAAACTATCCAAAGTACGTATTTGTAAATTCATAATACATTGCCAAGCTTATTGCAAGTATACTTACAGTTTCTGAAAAGTGGTTTCCATATTGGCATCCGTAAATGGTCAGTGCTGTTATTTTTTGGAATCTGAAATTTACCTTTCTTGCATGTTTGCTGCCCGAGAGATGCGTTTCCTTGGTGAACTCGGACTTGAGCGTGACGTCGCAAACTTCGCAGTGGAACTCCACCTATTTATTCATTGTTTTTCGTCCAGACCCGAATAATTAGCATGACGTTCGGTTCAACAAACACCGTGTGACAAAACTTTTCTTTTTCTTCTTATTTTATTATTAAAATTGTTTCTGCGCATAATTTACCTTGGGGCGGATTCTACTCAAGGAGGAGCGGGTTTGAACTTCGGTTTCCTGATGGTTGCAGTGTTCGCTGGTCGTCGAAGTTGACTGAAGTGACCAACCAACTCCGGAGGAAGAAGAGCTGTTTGAACTGCAGAAAAAAAAAAGAGAAAATTATTCGTCAACATCAACGTCTTATTATTTTGAACCCTTTGTTACAAGAAAAAAAATTAAAATGACAGCAACGATTGGTATAATTAAAAAACAGAACATCTGAATGCCTATTAAAAATGGCTGATAGAGCATTTTTATTCAATGAATTTGTAGTATTCTGTTCTATATGTCATAAAGAACATTAAACAAAATTGATATCTCTGTTCAGGTGGAAGAAAGTATCTCATGTAGAAAGTTTCTTGTAAAAACAATATCCTACAGATTATAACTTAAATTTTATCAAATTCAAAAACTGAAGAAACTGGGAAAATTGTTGGCACAGTTTCTGCCCATCCTTGCGCATAAATCTTTCCACATTAAAAATTTGGAAGGGTTACTTTAGTTTTGAACTAATTCATTTTTAATTCACAAGAATTTTAGGCTGAAAACCTGCAAAATACAGTTTTCAAGGTTAATTCCTTAGAGGTCTTCTTGTGGGTGCCTGGAAAACATGATTTTTTTCAGCATAACTTGAAGGAAATACTGTTTCAAGAAACACAATTTTTGCATTGCTGATATTAACAAAATGCTGTCAATATACGTCTATTTTTTAGGATTATGTTTATTTATTTATAAATATATATACTGTATATAAATATATATATATTATCAGAAAACTAAACATTTTGATTTGTAAAAAATAAACATAATCTCATATATACAGTATATGGAAAGCTAATTAAATTTGTGTATTTAATTTACTCTTATTTAATTTACTTCTGCAAAGTAAATTAAATAAGAGTACTGTATATATGAAAAGTACTGTAAATTAAATTAGTTCATGCTCATTATTTATTGTCCTGTTATTTTACAGTAAAGGTTGTACTGAAATGTCAACACAGAATTATTTAGGGACCAATAACTGAAGGGCCATAAAGTACTGCACTGCTCAGTATTTTACTGTATACTAGCTGTACAGTACAGTATAGATGAAATGTACATGCTGGGCATACATGCTTGTGCTGGACTCACCTGAAGTCAAGTGGGGCTAGCTGGGCGGCCTTGTGTGCCAGGTAGTTGTAGTAGCCGGCTGGGAAGCAGGCCGGCATGGCGGCCTCCAGCCTCGGGTTGCAAATGGCGGCCCGCGGCACCGGAGACCGACTCTGCGGCTCGCACGTCCCAACCTGCTGCGGTTTCCGCACTCCCACTTCCGGTCCGCTCTGATGGCTCCCATCTGTCATTTCCACACCTTTTCCGCATTATTATTCATACATCTCTTTTATTTCTCTCTTTCTCTCTCTATCCCTATACTGTTAGTTTTCTTCCATTTCTTCTGCATTTATATTCTCCCCTCACAAAGGAGTTTTTCAAAAGTACTATTGCAAGTTATTGCCCACAAAAAATTCTCAGTAACAACCAAAAGCTGTTTAATCATATGTACCAACTTATTGTTCTTCATTTTCAACAATTTATGGACACATGAACAATTGATAATGATGAGAATAAGTTCTGTTTTTCAATAATATACCATAATTATCTCTCACAGCAAGGGGCTTCCAAAAAGTATGTGAAGTTGCCCACAAAAAAAAATTAGGTGTGCATCACCACAGGGAAAAACAAAAGGTGTTGAAAGTATTTAAAGTTTCCTAAAAAAATGAAGGCAATCAAAATTTTCTTTATCAACAATAACAATAATTAACTTTTTTGACTTTGTGCTGGACACATGGAAAAGGAAAAGCTGGTATTTTTCTTTTAAAAATATAATTTTCACTTCGAAGGGGTTCCTTGAAATTATTGCAGTGAGTTGCCCACCTTGAGACAATAAAATGACAAAGTGTCAGATCATCTATATAGGATTTTATGTCAAGTTAGTTTTTTTTTTAATTTTAAAATGTTGTAAGCACATCATATCCAAAGAAAAAATTAGTATATTTACAGTTGGATATGGACAGATTGAGACAGATGACAATTTGAGATTGAAAATTGAGACAGGACATTTGAGTCAGGGCCAATTTGAGAAATAAGGGTGATTCAGAGACAGGGACAATTGGAGTTCTGGAAAATTGGAGACATATGGACATTTGGATGCAGGGACAATATGAGACAGGGACAATTTGAGACAGTCCCAAAGCAACTTGAAATATTTGGGAGCAACACAGGTTAGTCATTTTGAAAGTTCCTCTGTCTCAAAATGTATCTGTCTCAAAATGTATCTGTCTCAAAATGTATCTGTCTCAAAATGTATCTGTCTCAAAATGTATCTGTCTCAAAATGTATCTGTCTGAAATTGTCCCTATATCTCCAAAAGTGCCAGTCTCAAAATGTCCATGTCTCAAATTGCCCTAGATCAATTTAAAGTGTGTGGGTAATATCGCAAGACTTTTGACACACCTCGTTCTACAAAAAAAAAAACACTTTTTCCCTCCTTTCTACAACATTGCGGACCTCAGAATAAGAAACCACCACATTTTCGAATCATTATTCAGAACTTCGTGGCACGTTGTGTGCTGTCACGCGGTTTAATTTCTCAAGAGCCACGGGGAAATTGCCAAAAAAAGACATTAATAATACGGCAAAGGCAATAACCACGAAATAATACAGGGGTTTGAAAAAGAAAATACGGTACATTATTCCACAACAGGTGGGCATTTTTAATCCGACATTTAGATTGGCAACAATAATGAGAAAGGTACGAAAGAAAAGGAGCGCGAAGAGTTATACAGTACAGTACTGATGTGCAGTGGAAAGTAAGGAATATGAAGGCATGGAATTATGTGTTAATATTTAAATTTGTGGTTAATTAAAATCACAAATATTAAAATAATATATATAATAATAATATTAAAATTGTGCAACAATCAAACTTTTGCGATGAGATTAAATCCTTGTGATACAATTAAATTCTTGCGATAAAATTACATTCTTTTGGTTAAATTAAATTCTCGCGATGAAATTGATTTTTTTTATATCAAATTTTTGCGATGAAATGATATTCTTGTGAAAAAAAATTTTAAATGCTATGAAGCAATTGCAATTTTTTGGCAGAATCATACCATTTATTTCAGGTTTGCGATGCGATGAGAATTACAGTTTTGTCACACAATCACAATTTTTTTTTGGATTCAATGATAAGTTTCTGATAAAATGCCATTTTTGTGTTGAAATTAAAATATTGCGATGTACTGTACAGTACTTGAAATTACGATTTATACTTTCCAATTTTGTAGTCGAGTGTTGCCAATTCGTTAAAATGTTATTGGTGAGGAAAATTACAAAGAATGATTTTTAAAAAAAGGCATGATTTTTTCCAAATCAGGTTAGGAATGTACTATATACAAATATGTTCGTTTTTTTTTTGGACGAGATGAAAGAAAAATAACTCACGTGACTGAGCAATGATTTGAAAGTATTTGAGTCGCTTTTGGTGCTTCTTGCCTCCGACGTGGAAACAGGATTGTTGGCAGGAGTTGAGCTGAATGTTGCAGACTGGGCAGAAGTGAAGCAGAAGCTCACTCCAATGGCTTTCTTCCGGAAGGAATCTGCAACAATAGCAAAATATATATGTACAGTATATATATATATATATATATTTTTTTTTCCTCGAAAAATTACGAATACGGACGACAAACCAATGTCAACTGCGGATATGCATGTCAGCAGCATAGAAAAATGAATCATAGCCAGCAGTTCTTGAATTTAAACTCCAGGATATCAATCTGCAAATCTTATTAGCGCACCTGCTGTCGATCAATAATCGACCAATTTAGCATTTGAAAAATATATTAAAACGGAATCTCCGATTGAAGAATTATTACTGAAAAATTGTAAAATGTTTACGGGTTCCCAAAAGAATAATTCCACCGACTTTGGTATAGAAAAACCTGAATATCGGATATCCATCACATCAATTATCGAGTCCACCACATAATTAAAATCATCGTGATTTTGAATAATTCCAAATGCATTCCGTATGACGCAGATTTTTTATTAAAATTAACTCATATTTACTCAAGTGCCATGCACACATTTTTTTTTTCAAAGTTGAAAGGGCAAAAAACTGCATGTGAATGGGGATAAAATTTATAAAAATTAAGTTTCACACTTTCATATACTGTAAATCAGTAATGGGAAATGTTTGAACAATTTTGACAGGGATTTTTACATAAAAATAATAAAAAAAATTAATCGAATTCAGTTTGAAAAGATCCAAATTTGTATTATATACAGTAGTTACTTTATCTATGGACATTGCAGTTTTCCAGTCACTAAAAATTGGGTGTGCATCTTTTACTCTCATTAGGGATATTCATCAAAATTCTAGGCCCAAAAATCTGGGTGCAAGTCTCATATATACAGGTGGTACCTTGAAATTTGACCCTAATCCATTGCCAAGTTAGGGTCAAATTGCAAAGTGGTTGATTTGCAAGACACAATAAAATTCCAAACCATCAGTAAAAAAAAAATTCAAAAAAGTGGCCGAAAAAGGTCAAATTGAGTGGAAAGGGTCAAATTGCAAATCAACCTTCAAAATTTGAACCTATTATCTGTGGCCAAATTTTAGGGTCAAATTGCAAATACGTTTAATTGCAAGGCACTGTGAAATTCCAAAATATCAGTTTAAAAAATGCAAAAAAGTGGTCAAAGCAGGTAAAAATCAAGGGGTAAGGGACCAATTGCAATCAACCATTGAAATTTGACCCTAATCTGTTGCCAAACTAGGGTCAAATTGCAAATAAGTTGAATTGCAAGACACTGTGAAATTCCAAAATATCAATTTAAAAATGCAAAAAATTCAGGTCAAATTGAGGGGAAAGGGTAATCAAATTGCAACGCAACCTCCCTGCATATTTGACCATCAAATTGAAGGAGGTCATATTTCAAGGTATACCACCTGTATACATTCATTCTCCTTCCCAGCCAAATTAGTTTCAAAAAATATTTCTTTTAATTCACAATGAAGAAAACATGCACTGTATATTTTTCAAGAGCCTCATAATACTCTTACCTGGAAAGCGGGTCCAGAATTTGCGGACACCGGCAGTCTGACTCGCTGGAAGGCACAGAGATGTCGCCAGCAGTGTCCCCACTAACAAGCACCCGCTTCTTGCGTCGCTTGTTCCGCGCCATTCGCCACCGCAACCCTCTTCTTTATCTTTTTATTTTTGCCCTTTTCTTCTCTATTTATGATCCTTGGGGCTTTTCAAACGGACACAATGACCGCGAAACGGAGTCAACATCGATCCTTTCTATTACACGTACAACACAGATTCAATCCCTGAGAAAATAAAGAACATAAAAAAATGAATAATTGCGACCAGCAAGTGCACGAAGAGACGATACCGCAAAATATAATCTTTGAGGGAATTGCTTTGGATATCGGAAAGCAACGGAATTGATCAATTTAGTGGAGTTAAAATGTGGTAAATGCTAGGGTTCCAACATTTTTTTTAATAAACGGGTTAAAACGTATTTCGCTTCTCTTGACTGTGCTGCTCAAAGACTTGTTTTATGCCCTTCTTTGCATTTACAGTATAGCTATAAAAAAATCTCTAGAAATATTTATTGCTCGTTAAAAATTTATATTTTAGGTCCCTGACCAATAAAAAAAAAATTTGGAAAAAATAACCGCAATGTCATTATTTCTCACCAACACATTCTTGTCAGACTCTCTCACCTAAAAAAAAATTGTCAACAACTACTGTATTTTCGCAGTGTGACGCATTTTTGTTTGGCAGGGGTATGTACACCTATTCTATGCTTTAGAGCAGTGTTCCCCATAACCCATGGTCTGTGGACCAGCACAGGTCTGCAGAAGTTTTTTTTTTTTGCCAGTCAACAGGAGATTTTCAGCACAATAAATGCATCCGAAGTTGTAATGAAGTCTGTTATTGCTATATGATAGAAAAACAATGGCAGTTAAAATTATCTGATTGGCTTTTCCCCCTAATAACACTCACGAATAATTTTCACCGGCTTAAATAAATTAGTTCTAGTTGTCTTTCTGAAAAACCTTTTTTAAAGCCCAGCTTTCTAATTTCTAATTTTTTGAAGACACTTCAATATAGCTGCTTTGATAGTTCTTGAATTGATCTTTGAAATAAAAGTTTCATTTGACAGACTTCATGGGAGGTATTTAAAAAAAATTTCTGCTGGTCTGCAAAAATTTATGGAATGCTGCTGGTCTGCAGAAAATGTTATGGAAATATGCCAGTCTGCAGAAAATTTGCCAGTCTGCAGACCCAAAAAGGCTGGGGAACACTGCTGTAGATTATATATATATATATATATATATATATATACCGGTATATATAGGTGTTTTACAAAAGGAATTCTCCATACAACAAGTTATTTTCTGGTCACCTGAATTGTGCTGCATGTAGGAGAGTCCACATTTAGAGCAATTTTTTTTACTTATTCCATGCAAATAATGGCTTTATTGAAAGATAGATTTTGCTGTATTTTAGATATTTTAAGAACATATTCATTCAGCATAACAAACAAGGATGAATATGGAGCAACTTCAAAAGGATCTGAAAAAGGAAGAGATAAACCCTTCTATGGATTTATCTTTCAAAGCACTTCTTTATTGTACAATATTGAAAGAATTATAGTCATCATAAAAGTTTTTTAACAGCAAGTGAACTTCTGTTGTAACACATTACTGATTTGAAATGAATTCTTTGGATGTCTCATAAGAAAAATCCCAGACATGATGTTGAACAAATGTTTGAAGATTTTGGGTGGTTTATCAATTTTTTCTCCATCAGAATTACCTCCCAATTTTTTGGGTGGTTTATCAATTTTTTTCTCCATCAAAATTCCCTCCCAATTTTTCTTTCAACTTTACATTCTGAATCAATATTTGTCCTTATAGTATCAGGGTAAAGGATCTAACTCAAAAGAAAATCACAATTTATTCAAAAAACCATTTGATGAAGTATTATTGAAAAAACTTTTTTTTTGCTTCTGTTTCAATAGTTTTACTGGGGAAATTTGTGGTTTTGCTTAATGAAAATATTTTTAAATGATGACCAGGAATAAGTCAAATTCAAAAGAATCACTCCAATTTCGGAAAAGAAACGCAGTTTTTAAGTAACCTTGTCATATAATGGTTTCCTTTGGGTCTCAAGTTGTTCTTTTTTTAGGACAAGAAAAAAAATTGCAGTTGGTTAATATAGACTCCGGATAATGGACTTTCCCGCCCTATTATTCTCAAGATCATTCCATATTCAACATCACAGCGCAAGAAAACTACATAATTGCACTCTTCAGATTCTTCGTTCATATTTTCCCACATTCCATGACTTTTTCTCCCATGCACAAAACATTCCTCACTCAATTCTTGCAATTACAGTATATAGCTAGGAGATAAATGATCTCCCGAATTCCAGAAATTTCTCGCCTTA